TTTTCTCCCATAAGTCAATCTCAAAAGCAAAGAACTAAACTCACCCATGTTCTCATCTCATTTCTCTCCTTTCCCTTCCATTCAAACTGCAACACTTCTTACTTAGTTAATTAGGTCACTAATTTTTTAAGTGGATATAACATGCATAGAGGATGTAATGGTATTCACAACTCCTGATCTTTACTTTTACCCATGTTTCTTCCAGTCTTACCTGTGACTAATTTACTATGTTGGGCTCCATTTTCTTTCATCGTAGAAATAAAACTTGATGCAACATTCTCCTAGTTGTCTGTACCATTTCATGCATTTTAGTATCAATTCAGTTGGAAATGAAGGGAATGAAGCTTATGTTTTCTTCACTTATCAATTGCCGACATTGTAACTATTTTATTTATATAAGATCTTAAATTTTCAGCTTGCAAGTTGACTGACTGTTAAAATTTGACAGTGCTCCTGCTATTGAAGACTTGAAACAATGTCTTGAGTATACTGGGCAACATTCAAAGCTGGTAGATTCTTTTATCTCATCTCTGAGATATAGATTACTTACAGCTGGTGCCTCAACCAATGATATATTGCACCAATATGTTTCAACAATCAAAGCACTTCGAACTATAGATCCTGCAGGTGTTTTTCTTGAAGCTGTTGGTGAACCAATAAGGGAATACCTGAGGGGGAGAAAAGATACAATTAAATGCATTGTGACCATGCTTACTGATGGAACTGGTGGAAATCCCAATGGACCAGGCAGTTCTGGGGATAGCCTGCTGGAAGAATTGAATAGAGATGAAGAGAGTCAAGAGAACACTACTGTTGATGATGATATTAACTCTGATGACAAGCAAGCATGGATTAATGCACAAAAGTATGCCATCTTCATCTCTATTGTTTCAGAAATGATTGGAGGACATACTTTGTCTTGTACTTTATATCATTTTTTTTGGGTACATTGCTCTTTGTATCTTATGCATATATCTTTTATGATCCGAAATCTTGAAGCTGGGAGCCTGACCCTGTAGAGGCCGACCCATCGAAGGGAAGCAGATATCGAAGGAAGGTTGACATACTTGGTATGATAGTTGGCATAATTGGTTCCAAAGATCAGCTGGTTAATGAATACCGTGTAATGCTGGCTGAAAAGCTTTTGAACAAATCTGATTATGACATTGATGCCGAAATACGTACTCTAGAGCTTCTCAAGGTAAGTGGTCAAACCTCTGAGTTTGAGTTCTCTATCATCTCAATCAGTCACATGATGTACTCGAAAATAGACACCTTTACTGCTATATGATTCATCTTGATTTACATAGTCAGCTTGACATTTTTATCATTTTCAGATTCATTTTGGGGAAAGCAGTATGCAGAAATGTGAAATAATGCTTAATGATTTGATCGACTCAAAGAGGACAAATACAAATATAAAAGCAACTATCAAGCATCAACCACAGCCAGGTAATGGTTGCAAGTTATTTGTCCTGTTCTTGGGCTTCCCACAATTTTAATTAATCTCAATGATTACTGAATTTGTTCAAATACAGAGCAAAGGGACCTTGATGTATCTCTAGACAATCTTAATGCTACCATCATATCTTCAAATTTCTGGCCTCCTATTCAGGTATGCACTTATTCTTACATTTACTGACACAATAACTTTATTTACTAGCTATTGTTAGTAAAAGTCTTTACTCATCTAGTGGAACATCTTAATCCATTTTGGACAAGAAATCTTTTATGTTAAATATGAATTGTGCAAGCAAAATATTTCAACTGAACTGCTCCATTTTATTTTATTGATATTAGTTGTGTTCTCTCCTTCCAAAATAATCATAAATTAATGAGTTCTGAATCCTGTATATTCACAATTCATGGTCTTAGTCTGAATTAAGTAAATATCCCCTTTGACATTCTTGATATTTAAGAACATCTTCCTTGTTGATGACAGAGAAGTGATAGTTACTTTCCTTTCTTTTGGGTCCCCCCCCCCCCCCCCCCCCCCCCCCATGTTGCTCGAACTCCTCAAAATTGTCGATGGGTGCGTGTCGGTTCCTCCAAATATTGGTACATTTTTGGAGAGTCCGAGCAATATACTTAATAGTGTCAATCGTTTGCCTTTATGTAGCTTTCTTTGTTTTGTTTCATTTTTGCCAGTCAAGTAACAAAATCTGGTAATTTGATGGCAGGATGAGGCAGTCAATTTACCAGAGCCTGTGGAGCAGCTACTGACTGATTATGCAAAAAGGTATACTGAAGTCAAGACACCACGTAAGCTAATATGGAAGAAAAATCTGGGCAGTGTAAAGGTCAGTAACTGTACGGTGTACTTGGGACTCGTGTGTCTTTCGAGATAGTCTACACAAACAGTTGATTTAAAATCTCTAGATCTGAGCTCTCTGTTCTCTACATCCTTTGATATATAACCAAGTGCCTGACTGCATTGTTACCGCATTGTAGTTGGAGCTCCAATTCGAAGATAGAGCAATGCAGTTTAATGTTACTCCTTTGCATGCTTCAATTATTATGCAGTTTCAAGATCAGAAAAAGTAACTTCACAATCATCTTTGTATTTTTATTTTACCAATTGTTTCAGAAAAGTATTGGGAATGGATGTAAAGGGTATGTACACTTCATGTTGCAGGTGGATATCTAAGAATCTTGCAGCTGCAGTTGGAGTACCTGTTGATGTGTTGAATAGGAGGATAAATTTTTGGATAAGCAAGGTTAGTTCCTCTCTCTTCAATTTTCATCAGTATATGGTTTTCTGGTGTAAGGATTTATTTGATCTTTTTTCACTTGGTTGACTCTAGGGAGTTCTGGCAGAGTCAATGGGGGCAGACTCTGCTGATCATACTTTTACTCTGATGGAAACCATGAATGATACTGGTAAAAGTGGAACTATTGATGGAGGCTGTGAGGAGCTATTGGCAGGTGAGGACGACGGAGAACGCTCTGTGGCCTCTGTTGAAGATCAACTGCGAAAAGAGATGACTGTCTATGAGGTATATCATTCGACTTCCTTTTTCTTTCTCTTGCATACAAATGGATCTTTTAAGTAAATGAATCTGATACACTCTCTTAACAGTTGTCAACGCGTAAATAGTAGAAGCTTTTCTTTTCTCTAAAACTTTTTTTTTTGGTTCTTATGGAAGCTGTGGTTGAGTTGCATTAACATCACCATATAATTAGTCCATAGTCTTTCTCTTTGCTAACGAGGTACCTGAGTTTTTGAAATATTGTGCATAGTTCCCTTAGTGTTATAGAAAATAATTACTAATGGATTTCGAAAGCTTAAACATCAGTTGACAGGAAACTCCTCCTGAAACTTTTTGCAAGGCAGGACAGAGATGGCTGCGTCTTGGCTTGCCATGTTTTATCTACCATTACCAAACCTTACCACCAGTTGGATGTCTGTTAAACAAGTCTGAATGTTTTTTATCTTTTAATTTTAAATTGGCAAGGGTAGTTCATTGTTCTAAGGACAGAAACCCTACTCGCAAAGAACTAAGGACAAAATAACAGAAAAGAAACACTAGTGTTTTGTTTAATGAGGTGCTGGTGTTGACTGCAGAAATTTATCACTGGGATGCTTACCAATTTTGGCAGCATGGCATTGGATCGTATTCATAATACGCTCAAGGTAATTATTTGCTTTATAACTCATAAGATTTATAATTGAATTGGGCACTATGCTGTGGCATGAGGCCATGAAATACCGAAGAATTAAAAGTACTAATTGTTGGTGCAGATGTTCTGCATTGCTGATCCTACATATGACAAATCACTGCAACAACTGCAAAGCTTCTTATCTGGTTTAGTTGCCGAGGAGAAGTTGGAATTCAGAGATGGAATGTACTTTCTGAAAAAGTGATCAATTCCATCTATATTGGCTTGGTGGCATAAATCTTATCAGCACTCCTCAGACTGATGAAATGCAATAACGTGTCGTTAAGAAGGTAATAACAAACATTGGCTGCAGAGAGGTCTCTTTTTCTTCTCTTTTCAAGTGCGGAAATATCTGTAAATTCCTTGCAGTCCACTATTTGTGTGCTATTTAATCAAGCTGAGGGTAAGTGCAAATCAAGAAGGTTCCTGTGGGTTAGAATGACTCGTTATGATAAATGCATAAGAGTGTTAGTAATATTTATTAGCAGATCCTTCGCGATGAGAAAGAGACAAAGCCATCCAAGAGAAGACGTTGGATCTGGTTCGTTATAGAAGGTTAGCTAGTCAGTTAGTTGACAGTTCACTTATTTTCTGTATATGATGTAAACTCAGAAGATTGCACATTTGCTTTCTATAGAAAGAAGGGGTGCCATTGTTTATTTGGTGTATATGATGTAAACTGAATACACTTGGCCTTTTGATTTTCAAAAGAGGAGAGATCTATTTTTATCCAAAAGAACTGGTATCTCAAACTCTGAACCATAGTTTTTCATTTACTCTTAATGTGATTCGAACTCTTGACCATAGTTTTTCAAGTTTGGTTGGTCAAAATATTTCGGAATACCTGTACTCCAAAAATGAGAAAGGGATGAAGAAAGTTCAAGGGAGAAGAGAAATTAATACCACAAGTTTCAGAGACTGAATTTGTGAAATGCATTGAATTACTATATTCTCAAATTACGAGTCAATTGGTTTTGTGACTCATACATATTTTTCTTAGTTTTATGTCAAAAAAAATTTCCCTCTCTTTACTTTAATCAGATATTCGAAAATCAAAAATGGATCTAAGATATTATGCTTGTAGATTTTCATCCGATGCCAAGCTCGAAAACACCGAAATAGGGTTCTTTTCTTATCACTGAATCAACAACTCATTTAAATTACGAGCTCCATCATTTTCTTATATAATTAATGAATTCTCAATATAAATACATATTCAAATAAAAGTTATTAAATTCCCGAAAACCCTCACCCAATACCCCTCTCTCTCAAAAAAGGAAAAGTTGGTAAAGAAAGTAAAAGCAACTTTAGCCGTTAGCACATCACCCGTGAGAGAGAGAGTAAATTCGACCGTTACATTTCCATCTCATTCAAATAATTTCAACAGAGAAAATATTGCTTCACTTGCAGAAAAAAAAATGGAGGAAGAAGAAGATAGAATACAAAATCTCAGATCCAAAGCCACAGAGCTTTTACTCAGAAAAGAATGGAAAGATTCCATTGAAGTTTACTCAGAGTTAATCTCCCTTTGCCATGACCAAATCTCAAACCCCCATCAAAATCTTGATCCAAACAACCTCCCAAAACTCAAAAAATCCCTCTGTTTAGCTCTCTGTAACCGCGCTGAAGCTCGATTAAATCTTCAAGATTATCCTCAAGCTTTACAGGATTGTAATGAAGCTTCCCAAATTGGAAACACCCATTTCAAGACTCTGCTTTGTAAAGGTAAGATTTTGCTAAGTCTCAATCAATATGGGTTGGCCTTAGATTGTTTTAAAAAAGCAAGTCTTGATCCCAATGAGTTAGAAAATTATGAAATGCTTAATGGGTATTTAGAAAAGTGTAAAAAGTTTGAATTTTTATCAAGAACTGGTGCTTTTGATATCTCTGATTGGGTAGTAAATAAGTTTCAAGGAAAACCCCCTGAGCTAGCTGAGTACATTGGTTCAATTGAGATTAAGAAATCGGATATCAGTGGGCGTGGATTGTTCGCAACAAAGAATCTTGATTGTGGGAACTTGTTGTTAGTTACTAAGGCTGTTGCTGTTGAAAGAGCTATAGTACCTGAATCTGTTTTTCAAGATTCTAAGGAACAAGCTCAGTTGGATATGTGGAAGAATTTCATTGATAAAATCTTGGAATCTATCAAAAAATGTGTACGAACGCGTGATTTGATTTGTAAGCTATCAAATGGTGAGAATGAGGATGATTTGGAGGTTCCTGACATTGATCTATTTAGGCCTGTGGGAGAAGATAGTAGTACATTTCATGATAAGAAGATTGATAAGGAAAAATTGCTTAACATTCTTGATGTGAATTCTCTTGTTGAGGAGTTGATTTCCGCGAAAGTTCTTGGCAAAAACAGTGATGTCCATGGGATTGGACTTTGGATTTTGTCTTCATTTATCAACCATTCATGTGATCCCAACGTGAGGCGTTCCCACATTGGTGATCACGTGACGATTCATGCTTGTAGAGACATAAAAGCAGGCGAAGAGCTCACATTCGCCTATTTTGATGTGTTTACACCCTTTAGAGACCGTGAAGAGAAGGCGAAAAACTGGGGCTTTGTTTGTAAATGCAAAAGGTGTAATCTTGAAAAGGGTGTTAGTTCAAATCAAGAAATGATGGAAATTGAGATGTTTCTTGGTAAAGGACTAGACAATGGAGGTGTAGTTTATAGATTGGAGGAAAATATGAGGAGATGGATGGTAAGGGGAAAAGGGAAAGGGTATTTGAGATCGTCATTTTGGCGAGTGTATTCAGAAGTTTACGAGTCAGAAAGATCGTTGAGGAAATGGGGAAGTAAAGTTCCATTGATGGAAAATGTGTTGGATAGTGTTGTGGATGCAGTGGGAAGTGATGAGAGAATTGTGAAGTTGTTGATGAGAGGATTGAAGAGAAAAAATGGACATAAAGGGAATGGGATTGTAGAGATGGAAAAAGCAATGAAGTTGGGAAGGGGATTGTATGGTAAGATAATGAAGAAACAAACATTGAGGACTATACTAATTCAGCTTGGTAACTAGAAAGGCTATTTCTGATAGCCTATTTTCAAGATTAGTCAACAACATCGCGTCGATGTTAAACAAGTTAGGGTCAGCAATATGAATCTGCTGACTTCTTCATTTAAGCACATTACATTTTCAAGATTAGTCAAGAACAACGTGTCAATCTTTAAACAAGTTGGGATCAACTATATGGATCTGTATTTCTTCATTTAAGTTCATTACATTTTCAAGATTAGTCAACAACAATGTGTCAATAACAAGTTGGGGTTAGCTATATGAATCTGCACTTCTTCATTTAAGCTCTTTTCAATTTCAAGATTAGTCAAGTTGGTTCTTTTCTCTCTCTTTTTTCAATTCAAAAATGTATCTCACATTTAGTTCTCTCTTAGTTTTTTCCTACAAAAGATTATGAAAGTTGAAGTTGATTCACAATTTAGATTGTTAATGTTGATATTTTCAATATTCTTGTCTAGTTCTAACTATTTTAGATGTAGAAGTGTTACTACGAATGCTTACTTATCAGAAAAAGCCTTTAGTGAGGTCAAAAAATAAGAAGGAAGGGACGCTTGTACACAAGAACAAAGCACATACCATTTCGAGTGGTCTTCGTGTTAAATATGATGAAAGCCCTTCAAATAAATGAGACTTTTTCAATAGAAAGATTTGCGAGCAACGATCAAGAAATTAAGACTTTTCTAATAGCCTAATTTTATGTATTCGACTTACCAAGTCATGCTCATCAATTTCTATTGGTCGTTAACGCGTATTCTCAAAATTCTTATATCTAAAGTTGTGACTTGTGACATTAGAGGTATGGTATGGTAAGGTCAAAGTTTGACTACTATTAATACATTAAAATTTATCCACTTATGTTTCATACGCATAATATCAAAACAAATTCTGAGACACATGACTTTCGATTTTATTTCAAAAGCCAGCTATTAAAAACATGTTCATTATCTGAAAGGCCCATTCAAAGGCAAGAAATCAACTATATTTACATTGGAATCAATAGATGGTTCAAGGACTTTTATATTGTATAACCGTCACCTAAAATAATAATCGATAAATACATAATATACATAAATTACAAACAATTTAGATATATTAAAATTTTGCTATGTGTGGAGTTCGGAAAAAGACTGAACCACAAGAAAATGGTAATTTGTAATATTTCTATGCTATTTCTAAAATGATAATTTGTAATTTAACATGTGTTATATCTGAAAAATAAAAATAAAAAAAGTTTTGTGATTTATCTGTACGGCGGCCTACAGTCAGCTGGTCCAATTTGTACATCTACATCTTATATTTGTTCCTATCATATATGTATTTTTGTACTCTATATATAATCGAGCAAAACAAATCCTACTTGTCTGTTCGGAACGAAGGAAAATATTTTTCAACGAACATAAATAATTGTTTATTCTTTTTTTATGTTTGATATATAATTTAAAATATTTATATATAATATAGATAAATACTATAAAGTAGATAGAGGTACAAATAAGGAGTGTTGGTGATAGAAAGGAGATAATCAAATATAAAATGTCATTTATGAACAATGTCGTCGGATTGAAAATTTTCACTAAACCGGTTCAAAAAACAAAAATGTAGTACATGAAGTTTGAACTTGGAACCTTAAACCTAAACTATCGAGCCAATCTCTAGGGATCTGTTCAAATGATTCAAAACTCTATATATACATTAAAAATGCAGAAAAAAAATCAAAAGGATATGAATGAACACCCTGATCAGTGGCGACCCCCTAAATTCACATTGCTTGTGAAACTTGTTTTCCTCTACTATTGCTAGAAAAATCATTTCAAAATAATACTTATTTTCTTGAAGAAGAAAATATTTTCTAAGAATTTTAACTAATCAAACATAAAAAAGAATTATAAAATATTTTTTATTCTCACCAAACACACTCTACTTGTCCAAATTTTCTGCTTCTATTGGCCTGATTATTCTTTTTTTTTTCTTTTAATAGTATGGTATATTCTTTAAATCCTCATATGAATATTGGGTATATTTGAAATTCTATAAATACTTTGAGCCAAAAAAAAACAATGACATCATCCATGACAAACTTTGCACACATAATCAAGACAATTATTTAAATTTAATGTTTAGATAAGCTTCAGCCAACCCCTAAGGCTAAAACTAAAAGGTTATAATTACTTTGACTATTTTTTTTCTCAAGAAAAATGAATGAAACATTAATTCCTTAATTATTTAAATGGTATTAACAAGAATAAGTAAAAGGGAAAAAAAAAGAACTCATCAGCCATGTTGATCAAAATAATTAAATTTAATTGATGGCTTTGACTAGTTATTAGTCCTCATAATATAAATATTGCACATTTTCACTAGGTTATCCCTAATTATATATGTAGACGTAATGATAAACTTATAGGTAGGGTCGGAGCTAGCAAACCCAGATATTGAATATGAAAATTATTTTTAATTAGTTATATAATAGATATTGAACCCTTTTTAATTTTTTTGTGGATTACTTTTTTATATTTCGAACTTACTTGATAAAATTTTAACTTCACCTCTATCAAATGGTAGATACTTAAATTTGTGAAATTAATTAAAATTGCACCTACGACTAGTTATAACTTTATTTTACATTACTCAAGTGAAAGAAGAAAAAGTGGAAATAGAGGTGATAAAATTAATTTGTGAAATATGAATTGTTCAACTTGATTAATTTGTTTATTTAATTTATCTAAATATTGAATTAATTTGGCTTAAATTTGTTTAATTTAAATTTATCATTTTATTCTTAATAAAAAAACGTTTATATACATTATTATTAAATTTAGATGATTCTACGTCATATGGTCAAATCGGATCACTACATCACCTAGAGGTAAAAAGTTTTATTTAAATAATTATACAATTGTTTATCGGAGTAAAATAAAATATAATTAATTATCACAGATGCACATAAAATAATGAAGGTAGAGATCGATCATATCAAGTCGTGATTAAAAGAAACCAATTTTTTTTTATTAATTGAGGAATTTAAAAAGAAAAATATTATAATATTCTACACATGTCTACATTGATTATATCAAAACGTCATATATAGTATACTTTGTGATAAAGGATAACTCGAGTGTATTTTAAGAGATATAATATAAACAGTCTATCTTAATATTAGTGACAGATTAAACTTTTTTACTAATAAATTCAAAAGAAATTTATTTTAAGAGATATAATGTAAACATACTATCTTAATATTAGTGATAGATTTAAACTTTTTTACTAACAAATTCGAAAGAAATTGAAATTTCAAAGTGAACTTTGAATATCCAAAACTACTAAACGACTTACGCTATATATAATAAGTGTATTTTTTGCTAAAAAGAACTTGGATGAACACCTCGCGTCACTAGATTCTTCCCTATCTAATATAAGCATTATTATAATGTATATAATTTATAAATGACGGCTTCCATAAGTAGTGGAATAAATGGGCCAATCAAGATTCAAGTATCTCTAACTCTGATAATATTTTTAAATCGTGATTAATATAATATATGGTTGATATTAAAATTTAATGGCTAATTAGTGAGGTGGTTAGATAAGAACCACAAGTAATTAACTCACCTACATTTTTCTCTAGTCCTTATCTTATCTAATTAACCTCATTTGACTAGACAACTGTCGACTTTCTATAGTAGGAAACTTCTAGCTATTTTTGGCAATTGATTGTTTACTCAAAATTATTATTATTTTACTAATAATAATTCTAATTAAGATTACCATAATTTACTTAAGTTGACATGTATCATGAGATGTACTTGCTTGATAGATCAATAGGGAAAAAAATATTTTCCATTTTTTCCTTTAATTTATTCGTTAAGCTAAGTCAAAAGTAGATGGATAAATTTTAGATATGTTTTTCAAAGTATTTTGACATATGGTGACCATTCATTTCACACTGAAATTTCGTTTAACATACACTTTGCTAACACTAAAGATATGAATTAGTGGTGGAGATAGAGGGATGGAAGGAATTAAACCGGAAAGTTACAATATATAATATAATATTATTTTATTAAATTGTACATTATCTACGCCAATGAGACTCATTTTTTAGTTTTAAAATCTTTTTGAAAATCTAAAAAAAAATAAAAATTATTAGCTATATTATTATTTTTATTATATATTTGTGAATGTATAACGTGTGTTGTAGCAACCACATTGTAAATCACGTGTAACATTGTGTTTTCATCATATTTTGTATGATACAATGAATCTTTATAATAGATCGACAAGAGCACATAAGTTTGTTCCTATTATTATGGAACAGAAAAAGAAAAAAGAAAGTTGTGCATTGTTGAAAACACTATGTTTCTCTTAAATGTAGTGGACCCTCTCTAGGTTCCGAAAAGGTGTTGTATATGCAATCTTACATAGAGTATTTTCGATAGATTCTCACTTTAGGTAAAGTATATAAAATAAATACAGTAATGAAGAAGTCATGTTGAATGTAATGAAGATGAAAACAATAACAACAATAAAATAATACAATAACTTAAGCAAATAAAACATCAGGTAATTAAGGTTATAGTACTTATTACACAACTATTAAAATGAGAATGTTTAGATAAATGTTCAACAAGAAATCAATCTTGCGATAAATCTCTAACAAATTCTGAATGATCCTAGCGGCAATGTTCAACAAAAATCCTCATTTTTTAAAAATTACTGTTATATCTAGAATTTGGATCATAACTTTATATCTCTACATAAATAAATAAAAATTAAATTTTAAATATATATATATATCATATCTTAATTATGATAGAAAATGGATGTATGCAAATGTAGTGATGATTCTATGTTAGTCAACATCGAATCCACATATATATAGTGTTAGTGCTATGGATGTAAAGGTATGCAAAAAAGTCTACTAATTCTAATCTATCTTCTTAATTAAATTCTAATTTATCTACTTTAAAAAATGACTCAAACTACTCGACAAATTGACCCAACTAATTTAAATTTATATCCCATAGATCCATTTTAAGTACTAAATATTTGAGAGAAGTATTAAAAATACCTTTAAATTTGGAGTGAATTATTAATTTCATTCCTAAACTATTGACAACCTTAAAAACACTCATTAACTTGATTAAGTGAAGTTAAACTCACTCCTGATCTTGCAACATGAGTGAAATACACCCCTAATTCTCGTCAAGTTTAGGAATGTTTTCAACACTTCTCTCGACTTTTTATTAACAGTCACATGCTTCTACAAGAGTTTGAGACCACTTGTTATGTCCTGTGATAGATCGGGGGTGTATCTAAGTTCAGTTAGTCAAGTAAAGATGTGTTTTTAAGTCTATCAATAGTTCGAGAACGAAACTAGAGAGTAATTTATATCAAGTTCAACGGTAATTTCAATACTTCTCTTGTTTAGAAACTTTTTATATTAAAAAATTCAAACCTAAAATATTTAATAAAAGATAGGGATTGCATCCCTTCCATATATTTTATTACCTTTAACAATTGGATCCACATATGTGGATGAAGTTTTCATCCATATCTAACAAAAGCCAATTGGAATATGGAAAAAGATCCCAAGAACTCAATATGACACCAATAAGGTCCAAAATTTGTTTGTCATCCTCATCATCATACTCCAATCTTATTGGCTTATTAGGACCATAACTTTTGACTAGAAAGAGTCTTAAGAATAATAGTTTGTTAAAGTTACACAAACAAGAAAATCAAGATAAGAACTAAAGTATATTCCCACTCCCCAATGACCTTATCCACCACCGCCCCCACCCCCACCCCCCATGTTATTATCCATTGAATGAAGAAAGAATAAGATAATGATTTTGCGTAAAATATCCTACAAGCATGGCCTTGCAATATATATATATATATATATAAACGAAGAAAATGGTGGAGTCATAAGTATTCTTTCATCCTTAATTAGAGATCTCGAGTTTGAGCTTCCATCGGTACAAAAATTGCCTTCGTTAGAAAACGCTTTACCCCTCAATGTGGGACTTTCCAGCGCGATTCTGAATTTAGTTAGACTTCTATGTGAGCACCGGACACCGGATGAAAAATCTAAAATAAAATAAAATACATATCTACTCGTACTAGGTATGCAAGTCAAAAAAGAACCAATCATAATATGACAAATTTTTTAAACCTCCAACAATTATAAATTGGGCAGCCTTCTCCTTGCAAACATTTCAAACACTCACACTTCTCATTTTCCTCCTTATAGAATTAAAAAAAAAAAATCCTAAAACTCCCTTTTCTCTCAATATCCTTAAAAAAAGAATTGTTCCAATTCATTCATTTTTATATTTTTCTATAAAAATAATGGTTGGAAAAATTAGCTCTGATCTTCCTCCTGGATTTAGGTTTCATCCAACAGATGAGGAATTAATCATGTATTATCTTCGATATCAAGCTACTTCAAGGCCATGCCCCGTCTCAATTATCCCCGAAATCGATGTCTACAAGTTCGATCCCTGGGAATTACCTGGTTAGTACACATATATTTGTATACTCGAAAATCTTAAGTTTTTAATTTGAATTATATTATTTATGATTATTAATTATTTTTTCCTTTTTATAAAATGTGTAGAAAAGGCAGAATTTGGAGAAAATGAGTGGTATTTTTTTACCCCTAGAGATAGAAAATATCCAAATGGCGTTAGGCCAAATAGAGCAGCTGTGTCAGGTTATTGGAAGGCTACTGGCACTGATAAAGCAATTTATAGTGCAAATAAATATGTTGGAATTAAAAAAGCTCTTGTTTTTTACAAAGGCAAACCACCAAAAGGTGTCAAGACTGATTGGATCATGCATGAATATCGTTTGAGTGATTCAAAGTCTCAAACATACTCTAAGCAAAGTGGATCTATGAGGGTAAGAACATCATTAATCTGTCGCTAAATAGCTAGTAATTGACATGATTTTTCGATAATTTGTGTGTAAGTAGAGTTAGCATTGGATTTTTTTTTGTTGTTTAACGATAAAAGTACTTGTTTGTCGCTAATTCTTGTTTTTTTTTAGTCATGAATATTCATTTCACTAGCTACCCCAAAAAGGAATCCTGGAATTAGTTATGAATTTTGTCGTGATTTTTATTGTAGTGCATTTTCTAATTCATATGCTCCATCCGTCCTATTTTATATATATGAATTACTTTGATTTGACACGAAATTTAAAAAAGAAAAGAAGAGACTTTTGAAACTTGTGGTCTGATAGCCATAAATCATTTCCGTAAGGGTAAAATAGATATTTTAAAGTTAAATTATTACTTAATATAGAAATGTGTCATTCTTGTTTAGATTGATTAAAAAGGAAAGTGTGTCATATAAATTGGAATAGAAGAAATATATTTTTGTATCAAGTGTATTTATTCGGCTCTATTCAGATTTATTTCTTTCTTTTGATGAAGAATTAAACTAATATTCTTTTTTTTTCTTGGCTATTTTTTTTTTTCAGTTAGATGATTGGGTACTATGTAGAATTTATAAGAAGAAAAATTTGGGGAAAACTATAGAGATGATGAAAGTTGAAGAAGAAGAATTGGAGGCACAAAATGTGAGTATAAATAATGCAATTGAAGTTGGTGGTGGACCACAAACAATGAAATTACCAAGAATTTGTTCATTGTCACATCTATTGGAATTGGATTATTATGGATCAATTCCACAATTACTAAGTGACAATTTATTATATGATGACCAAAGTTACACAATGAATTATGTGAGTAACACAAGTAATGTGGATCAAGTATCATCACAACAACAAAATACAAATAATATTACAAGTAATAATTGTAATATTTTCTTCAATTATCAGCAGCCACTTTTTGTGAATCCAACGTTTCAATCCCAGTGATAATCAGTAGCGGAGACAGAATTTTCTAAATTGATTCTCAGTTATATCAAGGGGGTTCAATATGTATATAGATATATATATACACAATGTATTTTTCCGACAAAGGGATTCCATCCCGGTGAAAATATATTTATATGGAGGCTATTGGATGAAAAGGTGACATCAGAAGTTTATGACAACAATTGTAAAATATAATTAAATGTTATGTCATTGGTATTATTAGCAACAAACCTTGTAGTAGTAGGGGCAACAAATTGTTGTTGTATTATTTTAGAATTTAGTTTCTCAGTTTGTATTTGAAAAAAAAAACTAATTTACTTGTGAAATTTTAATAAATATTTTTCAGCAGTCTATCTTTGATTTTTTTAAAATTTGTTTTCTACAATGAAATGTCAATATTTTTATTATTCAATTTTTCTTTTCTTTGGTTTTTTGTCTTCTGATTAGTAGAATAAGGATTAATTAATTACCTAATTCATTATTATGGGCTTACAAAAAGGAGACTTATTTTTAAAAAGTCAATTATATGATGTAAATCCGCGTAGAAAAATTAATCATACTCCTAGGTAAGACTTTTTGAATAATATTCAAAATCGAACCGAATTATTCAATAAGCGATCCTATAGTTGTTTCATTAGGTAATATTTTTATCAGAATAAGAATTAATTAATATTATCATTAAAAAAAAAGTACATGAATTATCTCTTTGCTGACTTAAGTGTGATATTGTTTTGTATGATTATTAAAAAAAGTACCTATCTTAAATTCATATTTGTTATAAAATAATATATTGTGGATGTCCACTACATCAAGAAGTTACTCCATACTTTCCTCCATTATGAAGATAACCATAATCTCCATAACCTCCACCTTTATAACCATTATTCTTGTAACCTTTCACTTCCATAACCTCACCATTATATTCATGTTAATGTCATGTTTATGACTAATCTTTTGTATGCCTTTATGTTACACTATAAATAGAGGCATAAGGGTTCATATTGTAGAGACTTGAAGATTTGGTGTACACTTGATTGAAAGAAAGAAAGTTATCTCATATTGTTCCTCTTGTCTTATATTTTTCTTGTCTTTATCTTTATATTGTTCTTTAGTTCTTAAGTTTTACAACAATATTGAAGTTAATAAATATAATAATATTTGGCATGCAAAATTTCTTCTACTACATGAATATGGGAAAAACTTATCCGCATCGGGTGTTTATATCAAGCCAATGTGATTTCCATTATTACGTAATTTAATGAAGTAAAACACATGTCAATTAACATTCGGTGACTATATTAATAAATATTTTAATTGAATCAGTTGGGAAAAAATAGTATTTTCACATGGAAAATTAATAGTTTTCCTAGTATTTCAATGAAAATTTGATTTTCACCATATGTTTTCTCAGTGAGCTAATTCAATAAAAATAAAATAAAATACTTATTATAACGAAATGATTGAGATCTCTTTATCCTTAATCAGAAATTGTAGATTTTGAACTCAGACCTCTCTTGATATAAAGTTGTGGACTGTGCGGGTCTAGTGCAACCACTTGAAAAAAGAAAAGAAAAAAGATAGGTGCATGCATGGCCCCTTTTAAATAATCAAAATATCCCCATCATTTCAATGGTGATAACATTGGACTACTTTATTAACTTGGTAGGCGTTTGTCATAGATTTCACATTTTTATTATTTTATTTTAAATTTATAAAACTAAATTAAAGTTATATTTATTTGTAATTTTTTTGAAATAGTAATATTTTATTTAAAATTTACGAAGATAAAGTTAAAAAAATATGTTTGAAAGACTCTTTAAAATTTAAACTATTGGATTTCAAAATTTATAATGAAATACTAATAATTTTAAATACAACAAAAAGTTATTTTAGAAAAAACGAATAATTTTCGTGGTGGATTTTCTTCTTTTTTTTTTAACGGCTAATGCTCCGCCGAAATTTCTTCTAAATAGGACAAAGTCCTTATTAAAACTTTTTGGATATTATTTTTTTTGCCAAAAATACTTTTTGGATAAGATCAAACTTTTACTTCAAGGAATAAGGTATGTGCAAAGAAAAAAAGGGGCATGTGTATTTATCTTTCACTTATAAGGTATTTTCGGAACAAAGAAAAATACGGTTTATGTTAATATAAATTTTTAAAATTAAGTATTAGTTAAAATTTTATATAATTTATTTTTCAAAAAGTGAAATATCAATGATAAGTATAAGAGAACGAAGAAACTAATATATAAATTTACTTATATATATATATATATATATATATATATATATATATATATATTATTTACGCAGAAAAAAAGAGTTCAAGAATGTGTGGTACTATTCAAATTCGAGCACTCAAATAATGATAACAAGTTTTCTTTTTCTTTTTTGTCTATAAATGTAAAAAAATGTTTAGTAACGAAAAAATTAAGAATTTATTTGAATTAACTTATTTTAAATATTTTTAAGTACAATTTTGATTTATAGCACGAATAAAATAAAAATATAATTTTAAATCAAAAATCAAAAATTATAAATTCATCCAAATATACTTTTAACATAATTGTGTTCACTTTGTGCTTGTCAATTATACAAAACGGGAATGAAAACTCCCTTTTGACCTTTCCATTTTTTGATATACAAGTGATCGAGTGAACACAATAATATGAGAATATTGGACTATTGGTTACGTGTTGTTTATTTGCGTGTTGTTGTTGTGTACTTTTTCCGTCTTAAAATATTTATTTTAATTTTTATTTATATATTTTTGAAAAAATACTAATTAAAAATAATATTTGACTAACTTATTCTTATTTAAGTCGACTCAAGATATAAATATTTTATCCATAAAGACAATTCTCTTATATGACAATACTAGATTAGCAAGATATATAAGAGAGAGAAAAAAAATTCAATAGTAAGTAAAATTAATCGAAACTACTCTTTTGTCAACATGACGACAAGTACAAAATGACAGTAAGATGTCGATTGAATAATCAAAGCATCGGTTACTTTCATTTATGGCCTTCTTCAATCGCCTTGACATCTTATCATCAATGAATTCTCCCTCCCCCTCTATTCCATAAGTAGGTAGATGGCGCCCTCTCATTTGATCAGCTGTCAAATGGTAAATTAAAACCAGCCGCACGAATGGTTAGTCAAATATTCTTGAAATTGCGATCAATCTCGCTATCTTTTTAGTTGAGACCGTCCCTATATCATTAAAAAGTATGTCATGTTTGCAATGGCGTACACGATATACTAATTACAATTTACGTTGTTCCTCCAGCTATCGTTGAACACGTGTTCAACTTATTGCTCCATTTAATTTTACAAGTAATAGACTAATATAAAGCAAATCTTTAATTTTATATTGTTAAATCAATCAGATTAAAAGATATTTATTAGTAAGCTTTTTAAAAATTGTGAGATTTAAGTCCCATTTATTCATACAAAAAAAAAATCTACTTTTCTTATAAAAGATATGTTAAGAAATTAATTGATTATACGTTGGATTGATTTTTCGGATAGTTTAATTTTACAAGTGAAAATATATTTTTCATTCGCGACACTTTAATTTTTTGTTGCCAAGTGAAATATATGTTGAGACAACTTTAATTTCTATAATTAGCTGGTAATATATACACTATATCAAAAATAATTTTTAACATTAATTAATTAGCGACAATTAGCACTTTTTGTAAGTATCTCTAAAGTCTATAGCAACGGTGTTGGAACTAACACAACTAACTAATGTCGTTAATGTGTATATTTATTGTCGTTAAAAATATTTTTTGTTATAATGATTATTGGATAAATATTATTTAGACTAACTATAAATGTAGTATAAATTAAGCTTATACTACTAATTGTATATATTTCCTATGTTTTTTGTGTTCCTTCATTTTTAAAATAATTTTCTAATCATTATTTATACATTTCTGAGCTGTCATTTTCTATAAGTTTTATGAATAAGTAAGCCCCAACTGAATAATTGTAAAGGTGTTAGTATATGAAGCTATTAGTCTACTCATTAATCCAAGTATCCAACTATGTGGGAAAATCAGATATTATATCCCCATGTTAAATTGATCCACAATACCAAGTAATTCTTCATTAAAAAATTATCAATATAATTCATAATTAAAATGGGTAAAATGGTAAACTCATTATGTCAATTATTATTTTCTAAACAGGTGTGTCAATTCAAAAGTGGACAAGTAATTAGGGACAGAGGGAGTAAATAATATTTAATAGAAAGGGTAAAAAAGACACAAAAGATAAATTATCTCTTGATTTTCTAAATTGGACAAGTATTGTTAGACAGAGTAAGTACTAAATTAAGAAAAATAGTAAAATAACTCATTATAGTTGATTAAATTATACTTATTGCTAAAGATTTATATGCCAAATAGTCATGTATTTATATGTGGATCTCTCTTTAATAATCTCCTCTATAACAATATTCCATTATAACGGTCAAGTTCTTTTTAGAATCGATATATTTTTCATTCTATGTTATATTAGATATTCTTTATAATAATATTTTATCATAGCAATTGAAAATATTCAGACAAACAACAACATTATAAATAAGTTTGACTCTATAAAAGTATTCCTTAATTAAGATTAGTCATTTTGTTTCACTTAATGTCCAGATCTGCATTAGAGCTCCGACTAATCAAGATTAGTCATGATGACGAGCGACTTACACAAACAATCACTTGGGCATGCATACCCCAATAATTAATTACCCAAAAAGGGAAAGAAAAATCCCTTATGACAATTCCATATTTTAATAACCTGATAACTTAATATTAATATTATTGAGCACAACAACATGGGAGTACGTATTGCCAACTTTTTGTTGATTTTTATAGTGTTTTGACGGATGTTCATAGACACGTGTTGAAAAACGATACTTTTTTCACTAAGCGATTTATATAAATCATTAATTTTCTTTTTATAGAGTTATTCTTTATTCATATAATTTCGTATTTCAAAAGAAAATGTTTGTGAATTGCGACTAGATGCATGCATGTAACTATCTTATAAGTCAAAAAATATGGTAATACTTCTTAGTGCCGTTCACGGCATCTACTACGTACTCCTTAAATATATACACTAATTTAGTAAATTATCTTATGGTCTTTGTGTTTTTCTTTCCTTAATTGGCAAGTAACATACTTTCAGGATAAAATGAGAGAAACTTGGCATTTTTTGTGTGAACGATAACTCGTAGGTACATCAGGCTATAGGTGTGAAAGCATGAGTGAACGTGTTCGAAAGGGAGATGAGAGATAAACCTAAAATCATATGAAAAGAACGTTTGTTTTAAAATATCTTTAATTTGTTGCAATTAATGTGAATATAGCGGAAGATTAAAACACAATGAAAGAAAAAGAGAATTATACCTTCGATAGCAATTAGTTGACTTTAATTTGTATGTTGATATGTTTTATTTTTAATGATCCTGGACTAATTCCAGGGGATACCTGTCACCTCCCACCAGCAACATGTATCAAGTAATTCTGTCCATTAAGGCTATGACAGATGGAAAGAATCACTCCTAGTATTTTTGGTCTCCGCTGAATTTTTAACCTAAGGCCTCAAGATTCTCAACCACGTTGACCACTAAGCCACACCCTTTGATACATGTATGTTAATATATTTGTGTTAGGTTCTATGCTTTTTAGGAGTCTTTTATAGCGTGTTTGACAAAGCTACTAAGATCAACTTAATTTGATAAGTACATCTTATCAAATAATTTTGAAAAAGTACTTTGATTGATCAGTTTGTGTTTAACCAAATCATTTGTGAAGTATTTTTATTTGTAGTTTATATTTGACCAATATTTTCAAGACGTATTTCTACACATGCCATAATTTGACGAATATGATTACTATTTACAAGCACTTAGTTCTTTGCTTAAAATTTGGTCAAACATTTTTTATATTTTTAAAGTTTAGCCAAACAGATTATTAACGACCCTTATACTAATAGGGATTATAAAAATATTGTAGTTATTTTTTTTAGTTAATGAGGATTCATTTAATTGAACTTTATTATTGTGATTTGTTTAGATCATTTTCTCATCCCAATCCATTCATTTCTCATCTATCATTTTCTGTAAGTACTATATATGAATAGGTAGCCCCACTGGATGTCATTAAAGGTGTGGCTTAAATTTTTAAAGCAATTATTATTAGTCCAACTATGTGGGAGCTAGAGACATTAGATTTTTTGGCTGTAAAGCAATTATTCATGCACAATCAAGAATGTATTCTTTTTGCCTAAATTGCTTTAATTCTCTTTATGCATGAAAATGATTTATTGATATTGTTTGATTTGTTATATTGAAAACTAAATAACATGTATTCCATAATTTCAAAGAAGAAATAATTTGTTTACAAAAATATTCTCCACCTTATTTAGTAGAAAAAAGATTTCAGAGATTTCAAGGGTGTTTTTGGTAATTTCATTGTTTTAATTCGGGATAACTAATCCTCATACCATTACTCCACTCTTTGGCAGGGTGTGTAGTTGAAATTTTCACCATAATTTAGATCTATCTAGTGTCTTATCCCAATTTTGAACTCAAATTTGTTTTGATATGAGAATTGAGATACAACTTGTAGTATTAAGGTCAAAAAAAATATTGGCAAGTATGAAGGTCAAATAATATAACCATATTCATAACATGATTTTGTAAGCAGTGTCAAGGATATGCCTAGGGATTACAGAAAATCAGTGGAACATTGTTCAACGAGATAAAAATTAAAAGATTGATCCCAACCTGTCTACAAAATAGGGCTACTAGTGTTCTGTCTTGATTGATTCCGAAGTAATGTGAACCTTTCAAGTGAACAGGCCAGCCCAAAGTTAACAATTCTAAAATTGGGCCAACTAGAACAAAGCCTCTTAACCATTGACCCAACAACACCAATTTTATTGGGAAAAAAAAGAGGATAAAATAATTGCCAAGTCACCAAAACCTAAGGTCCATTTTGGATTTAGGGAAATCAATTACTATCCATCCAAACACACACCAAAAGTCTCAAAAACCATCAAACATTCTTTAACTTTGTTACACAAACATGACCACTTTCACAAATCCAACAACTTTGTTCCATCCAAAAATCAAAATAACCAAAACTCATCACACACAATGCAAGACACTACCCAAAATCCAATCAAACTTATCAACTAATGAAGAGAATTTCACATGTAGACGAAAACTTATCGCGACTTTTCTAGCCACTCCATTGACACTAGGCCTACCATTCACCCCTTTAGCATTAGCTGAAAATTGGGGCGTTCGATCATTCTTAAGAGAACATTTCTTTGAGCCTGGATTGTCCCCTGAAGATGCAGTAGCACGAATTCGCCAAACAGCAGATGGACTACATAGTATTAAGGAAATGTTGGAGACTAACTCATGGAGGTATGTCTTGTTTTATATTCGTCTTAAATCAGCTTATCTTAAACAGGACATGAAGAATGCCTTGTCCAGGGTGCCTGAAAGTCGAAAAGAGTCTTATATTAAAACTGCCAATGAGCTTACTGATAACATGGCTGAGGTAACTGTCCTTATTTCCCTGTTCAGAAATTTTCGAGGTTCTATTCAGTGTTATGAATATTTCTATGTATTTTCTTCGTTTGCAGTTTGATTACTACATTCGAACCCCAAAGGTATATGAATCTCGTGTATTCTATGAGAAGACGTTGAAATCGATTGATGAATTGGTGGGATTACTTGCATGATGTCAAGAGTTTTCATAACATCATCAGACTCAGAGGTGATTGAAATTATATACACTAGCAATTGAAATAGTCTCAATTTTATGTTCATTAGTTTGTTCAAAAAAATGACTTTCTTCAATAAACAAATTAGAGCTTATGAATACATATTTGGTGTGTGAGTTGATTTGACTTACGACTTTTTGAGAGAATAACTATTAGTTGACTAAACGTGATTTTTGAAAGACGAAAACATTGTAGTAAGGAGGAAATCTTTTCATTTGTGATACAACTGATGATAATCTTGATACAATGAAATGCAAATCATGAAACTAAACATTTACAAACACAATACACACACAGAAATAAACACAAAGGCTAGCAATTGCTAGTGTAGCCAGTCTCCTTTTATGACACTTTAGCGCCTGGATAACGCGATAGATGACAAAATAATAAGTAGAACCATCAAGGCCATTGCACCAAACGAACCAATAAGTGATCCAGCAGAACGCTGACAGAAATCTGTATACTGTTGGCATATCGAAAACCAGTTAGTTGAAGTGTTCCCATTGTGTGCCAAATACACAATCGCGGCTGCTGCAGATGCTCCAGATGTGAGGAAAACCAGCATTATCTTCAAAAGTTTTCACAAAGTATAAAAAGATATCAACACAACATCATAACAAAGTACTACTAAATATCAAAACTTGAGTAGAAACTTAATGTATTACCGCGTCTAGAACAATGAGCAAAACTCTGCTCTTTCCTGCTCTACTTCTGATAATGTGAAAGATTGAAATAGGGATAGAAAGTGCAAGATATACACAAGTTATAGAATTCGAAACCACGAAAAACCTTCAATCACAATAAACAAAACAAAAAATGTGTTAGTTAACCTTTATACAGTTCTGTTTCATGTACTAATATGTTGGCAATGTTGCTTACTTAAACGCGTCGATATCATCATATTGAGCTTCAAAATTTACAATCTGTGTACTGAATGAAAGTGCTTGATCTGCAGTACCCATTGCCACAGCACTTGCTAAGGTTCCAACAAGTGCAACGATACGTAAAACAAGATCAAATACAGAGATCCCTCTGTTTACTCCATGAACTCTTTTGGCCTTTGATCCCTCTCCAGCTTCAATTGATACTGCCTTCATCTTTCCCTTTTAGCTCAAACTTTGAAACTCAAATCAAATTTTGTTGTTATGATCTGTATGTTAAGTATGATCGACCGCGAATTTATACTAACAAGTGAACCAAATCATGTAACAGAGTTGCAAATAATATTAGGTTTTGATGACACATAATTAGTTGTTGCTTTTGCTTATTTAATCAATGAAATGTACAACTTTCTGGTTCAATACATGATATTCCATGAAGTAGTTAAGTCTTGCATTAACTTGCTAGACTTTTTACCTGCTCTACTTTCTTCATAACATGTACTTTGGAAACATTTTTTTTCATGAAAATGTATCATTATACACAAGAAACCGCGACATTACAACAATACACGAATCGTTGTAATTCCAAAAGTGTGGTCTAAGAAGGATAGCATGTACACATACGTCACTTTTAACTTTATGGAACAGAGAGGTTGTTTTCGATAGAAACTGCAACATTCTTTGTCCTATTTTTTTTTTGTTTTTTAAATGTTTTGCAAACATACTTTATGATCATTGATTTGTTATACTAGGTCAATTGATAATATACTAATAATAATGGCTATGGTCCTAAATGGTTTTTTGGATTAGGCACAAAGTTGTACTTGAACATGAGAATCGAAGATGAGAAATTAGAATATAAGAAAGTTCAATGATTAATAATCACACGCTGACTTTTTAATTAACAATGAGCAATAAAGCAGAGAATAAGTTTATGGAGTAGGTCAAAATCTAACTTATTTCTAGTTGTGAACCTTTTTATTTCATTTTTTTTAGTTCTGCTTTTGCTTCGTTACACAAACTTATTCAGCTAGTATGTTACATGGTTTATGGATACATATCAGTTATTTTTATGATTTTTAAAAAAACAAAGATAAAAATTTAACAAAAAAATTATTCCTTAAAAGGAGAATAAATACGTGTTGATCATTTATATTTTGAAACTTTCTTGCATCCTAGTCTAATAAAGATCAATATGTAGATCGGCAGCAAAATCTAGTTCTAATGACATTACGAGAAATCCCCTATTTTCAACTATGTAATGAACAATGAACCCTGTGGGCTTCAGCTTTAAGTTTATATATAATATCTCTATTTCTACCAAAAAAACATGTAGATCTACAAATAAGACATTGCTTTCGAGATCGTTAGCATATCCACCACCAATGTCTTCGCCTTGACACCTGCTTAGCATATCTTGATTCATCGATAGTAAAGTCATTGAGGAAATCAAGTGAATGACCTTAACGATCATTTTAGGAGTAGGTACTCATAAATAAGAAATGAACACAAATTACTTAACTACCAACTATTGGTTATAACCCTATTAGTTCTTACACTTAAAATACATAATTTATTTGTAATTTAATTTAATTATAATATTTTAATATAGTATAAATTTCTCTTTTTTGTAATTATATAAAAGGTTTAAATGTTTTTTGAACAATAGAGATATCATAACGGGTGTAAATGTGTAATGTAGGATTTATTTTTTTAATAATACAAGAGGTATAAGTATTTGATATTAAAGTTCTATAATGTTTTAAAAATTTACGTATTGTTTTTGAATTCTATATTGATTCAGACTATAGCACATGAATTAGAACACGAAGGATATACTACTTTGGAAATGATAGGTAAGCTATGAGAAGTATAGAAGATTTCTGAATGTGATCAAGAACGATGCAATCAATGTGCGCAAGACAGACATTACTGAATAATTAAAGAAATTAGGGAAAAAGAACAAATATATCTCGAACTATCGTAACTGGTTGCAATAGCCTTCGTCATATTTTTGGGACATTGGTGTCCTTGTCATCTAAAAATGAGAGCATGTATACCATTTATACTAACAGACATACACGTGTCATAATCTTATCCACCGACCCGACATTTAATAAATATAGGATCGACGGATAAGATTGTGCCACGTGTCCCTATTTAGTCTTCTTAGAGTGAAGGGCATATATGCTCTAGTTTTTTGACGGCAAGGGCACCAATGTCCTAAAAGTATGATGGAGGATATTTGCATACCATTTACGATAGTTCAAGGGTATATTTGTCCATTTTCTCAAGAAATTATTCAGAAGATCTTTTGATATATTACAGGGAAAAAGGAACAAATATATCACCGAGCTATCATAAATGGTATGCAGATACCCTCCGTCATACTTTTGAGACATTGATGCCTCTGCCGTCCAAAAACTAGAGCATATATGTCCTTCACTCTAACGGAAGACTAAATAGGGACACGTGGCACAATCTTATCCGTCGATCCGATATTTAATAAATGTTAGGTCGGTAGATAAAATTATGACACGTGTAGGCCCGTTAGTATAAAGGGTATATATGCTCTACTTTTTGGACAGCAGGGGCACTAATGTCCCAAAAATATGACAGAGGGTATCTATATACCATTTTCGATAGTTTGAGGGTATATTTATCATTTTTCCCTATATTATATGAAACCCACATGATAAGCTGCATGTTATGAGAGTCAAATATTTTTAGACCCCTTGCATAACAAGTATGCGTTTGTGAGCTAGTTATGATCATTATTTCAAATCAATTGGTTCATGTTGCTCTTATAAAATTAAAAATAATAAAAACAGCTTGTGTCAAAGATATTAAAGAGGATTCAAATACTAGGGCATGAACAATAATTTGGTAAAGTTTATACTAGGTAGCCATCTTTAGGATTAGCTAGTTGAAATATAAATAGTATATTTTGCTACTTATATTTCAAATTGTTGGAAACGATAGTTAATATAAATTGTTCTTTATGACATTTGTAGTTTGTATTTCAAATTTGAGCATACTCGGACTAGATTTATGTGTTGAATTATGGATTATATTATTGAAATTTGAATAATAAGTGCATGCAAAAATTGGTTGAACTCAAATCATTTGTGGGTGAAGTAACCTACAAACTTCAAACAAAATTTGTAACTTTAGGTATGAATTCTTGCAACTTCATCACGTATCGAAATTATTTCAAAGTGGATAGACTTTCAAAATTTTATAAATTTAGAGTGTGACTTAAACAACAACAATAATAATATATTCAGTGTACGTAATCTCATGAAGTGGGGAAGGTAAAGTGTATGCAAACATTGTCAGTGCTTTGGAGGTAGAGAGGTTGCTTTCGATAAACCCACAGCTCAAGAAAAAAGTAGACCAAAGCAGTATAAAGAAGAAATAGCAAAAATGGAGTAAGTCCAAGCAAAATACTAAAGACAACATGTCAAATCATCCTAAACAATAGTCATAATAAGATAAAACAATAATAAAAATATAAAAAACCCACTAATAATAACCAAAATCAAAGGACAAGAAACTAGAAGAGTAACACCACAATTAATAGCATAACTAATAGTATAGAAGAATAAGTGAGACAACACTCAACTACCTAACTAAATTCATATCCTACTTTGTGTCCTCCATAACCTTCTATCTAAGGTGATGTCCTCGGTAAGCTGAAGTTGTGTCATGTCCTGTCAAATCACGTCTCCTCCATACTTCTTTTGTCTCTACTTCTACTCTCTTGAAAACATTCATAGCCAACCTCTCACACTTTTGTACTGGGATATCCGTGCATCTCCTCTGCATATGCCCAAATCATTTCAATCTCGTTTCACGTATCTTCTCTTCTATTGACGCCACTCCTAGCTATACCAGATATCTTTATTTTATCTTACTTCTCCTAGTATATCCCCACATCCATATCAACATCCTCATTCTCACAACTTTCATCTTCTGATCGCGAAAGTTCTTAACTAGTCAACACTCTACGCCATACAACAAAGTCGGTCTTACCATCGCTCCGTAGAACGTGACTTAAACAGTGGGCCCCACATGGCAAAATCAGCTATCTGGGCACTTTTCCCACAAAAACAATGAAAAAGCCCAAAAATGCCCCAGGCCCACAATATGAGAAGGCCCATATTCTCTAGTGCAATGAAAACGCAACCTTTTGTTTTCTTTTTATTTTTCTTCTTTCATTTTACAGTTTATTTTGCTTCGTCTTTCTTTCTGTTCCATATTTCTGGTAACTCATCGGTTTCATCCACCTTCACTTCAGATTCCAGGTAACCCTTCTTCTTCTTCATCATTTTCCCATATCTGAAAACTGATTTTCTTGCCTTTTTGGGTTCTATTTTTGTTGTATTTTTTAAAAAGGTGGCGATTTTCAATAGTTATTTCCTGTTCTTGTGCTATCAAGTTCGATTCTTTTTTGTTATTTTTTCCTCATTACTAGGTTTATCATATGTGAATCTACTATTTGCGTTCTGGGTATTAATGGGATTTTAGTTTTGATCCAAATTCGGCACTGTTGTGATGATTGATTTGGTGTTTAAATTGATTTGAATTACTGAATCTGTGCGTTTATTTCATATTTCGTGAACTGGGTATTTATAGTTCTGTATTTTACCTTCTTTTTGTTCTTTTGCATGTTTAAGCTGAGCTAGAATTGATATCTTGAAAAGAAATTGATTGACAAGTTGTCATTTCCGGTTGAATTTCGGGGATCGGGGATGGGGATGGAGATAGTGAGCTGAGGGTCTATCGGAAACAGTATCTTGCTATCGCTATGAGGTAGGGGTAGGGGTAAGGTGTGCGTACACTCTACCTTCTTTAGACCCCACTTGTGATATTACACTATCTTGTTGTTGTTGTTGTTGGGGAAGGGGATGGTAAAAATTGAACCAGTACACATTTGGTGTGGGTGATTGATTCTCAGGGGTATTACTGTAAGATTTGGTGGAAATTCAGTGTTTCAATCAACTGCGGGAAGTTTGTTGTTTTTGTATGATATGGCTTATGTATCAAACTAGAAGATGTACATTATAGAGTAATAGGAGTACCTATAGTTTTTTCATCTTTAGATGTGTTATTCTTCAATTTTAGGATTCTTTGAGGATATAGTTTATTGTGTGTGTGGACTAAGTGGAGTGAATGTCCGTCAATACTGTGATTAAGTGTATGTGGACTGCAATCTGTTTCTCTGATCTGTGATTTTTAGAATTCTGAGTTCGAGATCCTTGATGTTATATGATGCTTTATGTTATCCAGGGCAGTCGATTGTCATGTTTAACTGTTGGATTTTCATTCGTTTTCTAAGATTACATATGCCATGATTCATGATTAGTTGATTGTTTCATTTACTTGTACCCCTAGTCTGTTTACGGTTGTTTTCTGATATGTAGATCAATTGGAACTCTTTGCGTTCAGTTTAAATTTAAGATTACCTTAAATTCAAAATCTAACTGGAAGATGCCCTATATTTGGATTTTCTTGTAATGGTATCCATTAAAATGTTTTCAAGCGAAGAGTTCTTGGTCAGGAAAATCAGCTGTGTATGCTTAACTTAGCTATGAGTGATACCAAACCAGATATATTTTTGCAGAAAAAAGCACACAAAATGTCGAACCCCTCAGATGAAAGTGGCAAGGAACCAAACCTTGGTAATGATCCTCCTAAAGCTGAAGTAAATGATGACCTTCCTGCAGAAGATCCAAAGGGTGCAGAAGAAGAAAGCCAAGATCCATCTCTAGCGGTACATATTTTCATATGCAACTAATTGATTCCATTTGCTCAAAGCTTTTGCAATGCTAGTGAATGATGAAGCATATGTTAAAGTGATACAGATTAGGGAATACATTTTTATACCGAATGTTTTCGTAAAAAATTCCTATGTACTTAGTTCTTTTGTTTGCAGCTCAAAACTCTAGAATAATAATCAATGATGGAGCATACATTAAAATGATAAGCAAATACATTTTTGCACCAAAAGATTTTCTAAAAATAGTCCCTATGTACTTCCATTTGCAACTCAAATCTTTAAAATGCCAGTCACCATGTACTTAGTATCTTTTTCTGTGGCATATAACCATGTGAATGAGATTTCATTCATAGGACTGGTATCCATCTATAAGTGTATAAGGGTATTTGAGGTAGAGACGGTAAGTTGATGAAAGTGTAAAGGAAAATGACCTAAATTTACTGCAACTACACGAAACATTTACTGTACTTCTGCCAATTTTTCTTGAGATTTGGGGCATAATTCTTTTCCTCGTTACATATATCCAGGAGCAGGAGGAACTAATGAAGAAAAAATATGGTGGATTAGTGAAAAAGAAACCTCCATTGATAACTAAGGTGATTATTTTCGGTTTTTACTTAAACTCTTTGGTATCTCAAATTATTTTCCTCGGTGTGTTTTGTGTTTTACTTCGACTCTTGTCCTCATTGAATTTTCAATTAACCCCTTTAACATTTGCCAGGACCATGAACGTGCTTTTTTCGATTCTGCGGACTGGGCACTAGGGAAGGTACTCAGCTTTAGTGTAACTTTGGCTGTTTCAGTCTTTAGCTAAAGTTTGATGTTGAAGTTTGAGCATCTTTTACCATGTTTTCATTTTCTATTATATTGCAGCAAGGGGGACATAAGGCCAAAACACCTGCTGAGGCACTTCGCCCGAAATTGGAGGTGCATTACCCTGTTACTCTGAGAAACTCATTTCCAATTTATATTGTTGCTCGTAATGGCTAGAAGTTGTATCTTCCTTTATTTATTCAAACTAAATACTGAAGCATACATACATAAGGAAGTTAACTATCAAGTTGCCACATGTTCAATTTGTATTCAATTATCACAACAAGATTGCATTGCTTATGTATTCTTTGATAACAGCCGACACCACACCAGCAACTTCGTACTCGTCTCTCAGAAGCTAAACTGACAGATGCCGGTGAAGGTATGTACCTAAAAGCTATTCTTGTAGTGTGATCATACTGGAAGCAAATCTCAACCCCTTTGCCTCTTTCTTCTCCGTTTAAAATCTGGCAAGCAGATGGTAGCAACAATGATCTTGACCAGCTAGATGAGCAGAGCGGAACACCAGCAGCGGATGGTGAGAATAAGTCTTAGATCAGAGGCACCAGGACCAAAACATTCTTGAGCAGCCTCATCAAAGTTTCCTGCTGAATTAACTGAAAGTGGTGTTGTAAATCAGGCTAGCTACTTATATAGAGGTAAAAAAGAAGGAAAGAAAGAGAATAATTGCTCGTGTGGCGAATTTTTGTACTGAGATTAGATTTGTTGTCCTATACTGAGCTGATTTCCTTGCATAAAATTCAGAAAACTGCCCTATCTGGCTGTGCTATAATGCCATCATATGATATATTGTACTTTTTTGGTGGTAGAAGTTCTAGATTGATCCATGTTATAATGAAATGTTAAAGACATACAGTTTATGCAATATTAATGTCTTTCCTTTTTGGTACATTGTACTGTACTTCATATTTGTGATTTCATACAAACTAGATTTCTTGACTTCATTTTTATGATCTCATACAAAGTTGGTTTTGAACACACAAGAATTTATGTTCCTAAAACCTTGTTACTAGTAGTTGGAAAAGGTCATATTCGATTTGCTTGGTTCAAACAAATGGAGGTCACTAACTGAGGTTGGAAGTCCCCAGAAAACAAAAAATTCAGTTAATCACCACTTTAGCAAACGCTATTGACTTTCAGAGCTACAAAAGGAGTTCGATTGTGACCATCTAGACGCTTCAACTTGACGTAATAGGTGTGTTTCGCGTGCATCTTTAACTGTGAAAATGTACATCTAAATACCTTAACTTTAAAGGGGTGCATTCCAGATGTGAATTTTCAAAGTTGAGGATACTTACAAGGCTAACTTAAATCAAGTTAAGATGTCTAAATGTGCATCAAGTTAAAGTATTTATTATGTATCCAACTAGAGACGTATTAGTCTAATTGAAAATAATGCAAACGATTATTACTTTCTAGATGCCTTATGACACTTATGCATCAAAGAAGTTCCACATTCATGGATGAAAAGAAAAAGATTCACATTCGTTGAAAACTAGCAACATTTTTCTTCTTTTTTTCCTTCTCGTGAGTGATGGTAGTTTTGAGCTTTACATACAACTGAGACTTTACCATTGTTTAATGTACATTTTTGTGTTAACCATCAAACATTATGCTTGTTAACCATCAATTGAAAGGAGGCGACATGAGATTGTCACCTATATTGCTACCTTACATACACAAACGTGCAATCAAAAAATTATTTATCAACAATGAAAATATTCTCATTATCAACTCAACAAGACCAGTATCTTTACATATGAATCCTGTTGGGACTAAATAGAAATGACAATACAACTCTTAACAATTTCTTTATTTTTAACATTTCCAGGAATAAGTATGGCTTGTGAAGCTCACTGACCCAACTAATTCAACTTCATGCCACCATTTTCAGGGCTCGAATGCGATCTCCGGTTGAACATGGAGGGATCCCAAATTCCCAACCACCTCCTGGTGGTGGTAATGATTTAGTACCTTATAACTAGGGAGGTGTGAGCGTTTACTCGATTACATCGAATCAATTACTTAGAAGAATGCTTTAAATGGACCATTCAAAGGCCACACTAAAGGGTAATTACACTCAGCCGTCCAACAAACAACATAACAAACTGGACCGGCTTTGAAAGTACAGTGCAGAACTCTTATTAAACAGCACAGAGCAAAGAGAACTCCATGCTCAAATAATGAAATAAAGCTGATGGAATGACACACGTAGACATGGAACCCCAGTAATTCATTACTGTAAGCTTCATGAAGCCCTCCAAAGGGCAAAAAGCAGTTGGCAATACACGTGATAGAGCTTTCTTTCCTCCTGAAATGTTTTCACTGTAGGATGTGTATGTTCCTACCAAAATAATATATCTGTCTCACGGTGTAAGAAATAACATTTGCAAGAAAGAAAAGTACTTACCTTAGTAGGAATTTATCATAAGAACTAAATTTTCTATCAATCCTCTGCAGAATCGATCACATAAAATGATCACACATCAAGCAGTGACCAACACCATCATTTCCTAAAGGCCAAAGGAACACCATCATTTCCTTGAGGCCAAGGGAGCATGAATATTAACAAGATAAGACAGGTTACCATATATACCAAACCTCTGAAAACATATTCATGCCTACTCAACGATCTGAAAAGCAATTCTCAATCTCAAGTACCTCCTACCCTAGAGAAGCAAGAAAAGAAAATTTAACACTGCTTCAGAAGAAATCTGCCTTCTTAGTGTATACCATAGCATGCAAACGTGAATGTGCCTACTCAACGATCTGAAAAGTAATTCTCAATCTCAAGTACCTCCTACCCTAGAGAAGCAAGAGAAGAAAAATTAACACTGCTTCAGTAGAAATCTGCCTTCTTAGTGTATACCATAGCATGCAAACGTGAATGTGCCTACTCAACGATCTGAAAAGCAATTCTCAATCTCAAGTACCTCCTACCCTAGAGAAGCAAGAGAAGAAAATTTAACACTGCTTCAGTAGAAACTGCCTTCTCAGTGTATACCATAGCATGCAAACGTGAATGTGAATTTTGATCATAATTAGCTATTGATTGATCTCTTAAAAGCTCTGTGCTAGCAACTAACAGAAGGGCTTCATTGACAAGGATAGAACCCAATAGCGGGAATCATGTCATATACAAGATCACTAACAGAAAAGCTGTCAAGTAAACATGACATTTTTACCTCCTGAAATGCAGAAACCTGACTTGAACTTTTGTTCAATAACTGGAAAGCTGTCAAGAAAACATGAAAAAAAATCGATGCAAGAGAAAGCAATAGAATGTTCAATCCTGTAGCATAACTGGTCAACAGGAAACGTCACAAAAGTTCTTAAGAACACAAACAAACAAACAAAAAGTAAAGAAGAACCACCACATCAAACTGTCATGGCTTAGTCTGCTACACAAAACCACTAAAGTAAAGGTATTGTTGGGTACAAAAGGCCTTCAATGACTAAGAGGCGTTGTTTCATTACAATATATATGCTGGTAACACCTAAGAAACAGAAATACTAGGGCAAGGATGGCCACAAGTTTCTCTATCTTGTTCGTCTGGTCCTCTGTTCTTAGGCTGGAGGCTTCGTCAAAAGGGGCGGGCAATGGGCTGGAACAGGCATCGGAGATGATAGCTGTTTAGATGGCAAGTGTGAAAAGGCAAAGTAAAAGAAAGAGCATTAGAGATGCAATACAGGCTTCAGGCTAGTCAAAGTTATCAAAAGGAAGATGCTCTTGAGGCTATACTGAAGTACAGAACAGAGATGCCCATTAATTTATGTATAAGATCAAAAAAAAGGTGAAATTCTGTACCTCCGGCTGCTAATAACCCTCCACACCCTAGTATCCATAAGATTTTCCATAGGCAGAAGGGTTATGGCTGGAAACCCTGGAAAGATTAGAACAAGTAAATAACAAAACCTTTTTACAGTAAATGAAAAGAGACTAATTATAGGCGGGAAACATAGCCTTAATTCAAAGAGTGTAGTCAGATAATGCTTTACCCTGCACTGCTAGGTCGCCCAGAGGAATAAACGCCATATGGTGCATAATTACCTCCACCACCAACCTGAAAAATATGAATTCAGATCTACTTTCTGACATATTTTGTTTGCTATACAAGGATAGCAGCAAAATAGATGGAAAAATACAGAAACCATCAATTAGAATATGAACAACAGGACAAGATAATTTGATCCTTACCTGTAAAAATGAGATAACATCAAACTAACTTCTAAGAGATGAACACTGAATATTTACCTGTGAGCCACCATAACTATCACTTGGAGACAAATCATTGTAATCATGTCCACCTGAATAAGATGAATGACCATGCCGACGTGATCTATTATCACGGTTACCATATCTTGAACCATCTGGCATGCTTGCAGACATGGGGACATAAGAAAGGCCAGGAGAAAATGCAGGAAAAGATCCCTCCATCTCAAATGTATTGGCCCTCAAACGCATAAGTACTTGCAATAACGCATTGGCAGCAACATTAGCATCTCCAGTAATCTGAAGGAGAAAAACACAATACCATGACATAAGAATTTCAGCATAGGGAGAACACTTGAACCAAACATCACACCCCCAACCTACAAAAAACTGAGAGTTAAACAAATCAAGTGAGACAATATTACACGAGGACAAAAATAGAAAACCTGCTTACCTGCACCATCTCGTCATCTTCGGATGCCACTTTGGGAAGATTTTCCTTCGAAAGAACGCGGATGCTTGCCCTTGTGGAATTCCGCATCTCATTGATAATGGAACCACCTTTACCAATAAGGCATCCAACTCGTGAACTAGGTACAAGCAGGCGAGTCGTAAGAATAGCATCACCGGATTCTTTTTCAGTTTTCTCACTACTTCTCGGTTGCAAACGCATTGTTGCATCGATGGTAGGGGATTGATCTTCAAATGCCTGCGATCACAATTGGATAAGCAACAAACACTACAGAGAAGCATTCTCAGTCCTAGCAATCAAATAATGAATTCAATAACCAAGAACAGTTCCTCACCTCCTTTGCTGATACAAATATAATGCAATCATCTCCCTCGGCCGCAGCACTATCGACTTTAATAGATGCACCTGATTCCTGTCTTAGCTGTTTGATAATGCCTCCACCTTTGCCAATTACAGCTCCTACATTCTCAGTTGGACAAACCAAACGAACTGCAAACTCTTTTACAGAAGAAGATCTACTTCTACCATCACTTTTGTAACTTGCGTAAGGACCCATCAATGATGTCACACCCATGACTTGGGTACCAGCATGAGGATTAACAAGTCCAGCACCAGACCTAAATATGCTGGGTGACGACAGCAATTGATGTTGGGACCGTGATGGATTATCATGGAGGCGTGCTGCTACTTGATAAAGTGCTTTCTTAACAACTGCACCTTCACCGGTTATCTGAAAATAAAAGAAGAATCTCTTCAACACATCATTTACATTTTCATATAACCAGATAGACGCATCATTAAAAGTGACGGCATAGTGGGGAATTTGCAAATAAAACTTGAATACAGCAGTTGCTCACTCAACTATTGATTGTCCATTTCTTTCATTATTCCTAGTCAGTGTTTTTGGTACCATCAAGTTTCACAAATAGATGCCCTACAAAATTGTTATAGCTAACAGATTAAAAAACTGCTTTTAAAGAACCAAACCAATCTTGTAAGAAGCCCTTCAGGATTAGCTGGGGTACTCTTTTTATGTCTTCTGATTTTTAGAAATAACTGTCAGATGTAACCCACTTCCTTTGTGCTAATTTATTTATAAGATCTACTTTGCCTTCTCAAAAAAGGAACCAAATGAATCATGTTTAAGTTTCTGCTCACGCAGTTATACTCCATACCAATCAACTACCCCTCAATCTCGAACTAGTCAGTCAATGCAGGAATCCTTTATAACAATTCTGCTCGACGAACTCATTTTACTCCAATATACTGATCTTCTAAGGTAAATTAGGATTTCTCTAAAACTAAAGGTTTTTGCAAAACTCACACCTATACACTGACATACAATCCATGCAACAACTACACCTCTGCATCAAGCAGGTTGGGGTTCACTATATGAATCCTCAGTGACTATATTCCCCATTTAAATTCATCTTAGGCCAACAGGAAATCTAGAATCTTATCGGAAAAGTTTGTAAGTAACATACTTAAAAATTGGTTGACAAGCTAAACCAGGCAATCAGCTAGCATAGAAACAAGCCTCTTCATTGCGAGAGACACCAAGGCTGGAAAATAAAAAAAACTCATTTTTTTAATCAGGCTCGAAAACCTCATATCTAGCTACCTATTATATTTTGTGCAGCAATTTTCTTTTTTTATATGACGGTGGTGTCTACGCCAGCTTGCACGGATCGCAACTATTCCACCAGGTACCAAAATCAAATATGATCAAGGGAAGTGCTCGCACTTAAAACTCTGATGAAATTACTTTAGGTAAATTAAACCATACATGCCTAAAAGTACTCTAGAGTACATGCATAATGAATGCTTCTAATTATCTAAAAAAATCTAAGAGATAACACAGAATTACGGTTAACATAAACTGTACTCAAAAGTGTTGTGAGGAGGACCCTGCTACTACCTGGAGAAGCTCATCCGAGTTTAGAGCACAAGGGGGCAAGTGCTCACTGCTTAACACCCGAATCTGCGCACCTGTTTCACTTCGTAAATTCTGGATCACTTGTCCACCTTTCCCTATCACACAACCTATCTGATCTGATGGGACAAGCATCCTTACAGTAATCTGCTGATGATCCTCCAGATCTTCGTCCATACGCAGGTCTTCAGCAAGGACTCTGTCATGCACCCTGAATAGAGCATCTTGAGCAGGTGAAATCAGGTCACCAGTATCTTCAGAGACATTAGTTTCTTCACTTCCACTATAAATAGTTACCACACGCTCCTCGCAGCCAGGTATGGTCTCACTAATCCTAATCTTTGAATTAGTTTCTGTCCTCAATTGTTTTGCAATGTCCCCACCAACTCCAATGATACTTCCAATTTTTCCTGTGGGGCATAAATAACGAAAAACAGTATCCTCTGGTCCAATGGAATTTGATTCCTTTTCATCAGTTGGAGTCCTTCTCTTACTTCCATCACTCCTTGAATAGTCAGATTCCGATTGCATTCTCTTACCGTAGTTGTTCCTCTGGCCTGCCATGTCAAGGAGCTGAATATGTCACCCTACAAACCAAATATTCTGTATCAACTTGGATCAGAAACAAACTAACAACTCATGAAGTGTTATTACATAGAACATCATGAGGTGGAACATACAGACAACATAACCTGGAAAATGAAGCACAATGCAAAGTGGTGCAAATTACATCATATGCAATATCAATTTCCCAATAAAGCTATATTGCTTCACTCAATAACCATAAGACCAAGTAAAAGCTTTACCAACCAACCAAGAAAGTTGCAACACAAAATCACAGAAAAAATCCATGATGACATTGAAGGACCTGTTTTCTCTAGTAGTCCAGATTTTCCTTTAAAGTAATCAACGACAACCTCAAATCAAAGAAGCCATTTTCACTCACCCAAGACTTCTATTTTCCTTTAAAACTTACCAATGACAAAATCCCCAGCAACTCTCAAGGGCTGAGCCAGGTAGGCCGGAAAAATTACACTATCAATACAAGATTAAGATTATCTTTTATGTATATACAATAGATATTGGATCTCCTTTGCTTCCTAATTCCTAAAGCTCTTGCAATCACCCAAGCAACAAATTGCAAGTTCACACACATACAAATTAAATGTTTGAGATTAAAAACCCTCTCTTACTGCAATAAAATCTCTAGCACTACATAATTTTCTTCAAAGCAATCAACTTTATAAACAAAAAAAAAAAACAGACACAGAAGCAATTTTCACACACACCATATTTCTCCTCTTTTTTACACAGAAAACCAAATTCATGATTGAAATTGATACCCTTATAGATATACAATCTCTAACACTCCATAATTCCCATCAAAGTAGCCAACTTTACCCAAAAAAAAATCCAGATTCAATTTTTAGCCCCAAAAAAAAAACTTCATTTCTTCACTACACTTCTCTAGAATCAGAAGAACAAAAAAAAACAACCAAAAAAAACAAACATAAAGGTCTCACCTTTTGTTTGTCTAGTAAACCTGTATCACTGCCAAGATTAGAGAAAAGGGTAAATGATTAATCTTGTTAATTTTGCATAAAAAGCACAAATAGTCTATAAACACAATGGAGAGAGAGAAAAGCAAGAAAATTACGGTGTTCTGGAGAAGAATCAATCCGTGGGTCTGTTGTGTTCAAAGTACGAAATACTGCAGAGAATATAAAGAAAATCTTTGCCAAATGGGGAAGTTTCTAGGGTTTGGCTGTAAAAAGCTTGTCAAATATTGAAATACTTAACCGACTATAGATGGTCTTATTAGAAGTGTTGTACCTAGGCCCTAACGAGGCCTAACAAAGATATACACTAGAGAAAATATTAGCCCATCATTATCAAAGAGATTTTGTAACAAAGTAAAATATTTGAAAAAGCTATCAAATTAGACAAATATTTCTACTATATTTTATGTTTTTGGTTAATCATGAAAAAATTATCATAGATAATTAGTGTTTACACGTAAAGAGCACTCCAATGAATAATAACCGACATGCTAGTCAATCCGAGCTTGAGAACCAGTAAGAAAACTAACAAGCTAGTTACAGAGTTTCTAAATTGAACTACTGCACTTTCGAACCTTTCTAAAGTCTTTTACTTGTTTTATTATTTCAATGATTTCTTTCTGTATCTGTTCAATAGCTACCTCTGTTTTTACATTTACTTCCTTGAATTGCTTCCAATATCTTGCCTTCCATGTGCGGTAGATCCTTGCCCCGGAAATTGTTGTTGTCGACTTCTTTATGAATTGTCTCCAATATTGCTCTTTTATCCAACTTAAATATGGTTGCACCTACTACTTTTGCATTCAACCTGTCCATCTTCCCAACTCTTCTTGCACTATTGTTGTTCATCTACATTAAAAAAAAATAGATGTCGTTGAGATTCCACTTTGTTATCATCACACATACAACATGTTAAATTGTCCACTAGAATATGTAGCATGTTCATTTTCTCTTTGTCAACAGTCTATCTTAGGTTGTCATCCATAGTATGAATCTGTGGTAGATAGTAGAATCGAGCTCCATACCAAATCAGATCCCTTTACTCTCTCCAAGGTCCCCACTAAGTTGTAATAACTTTCCCTGAATATTCATCACTCTCAGTTAAACAGTATGATTCATCTTTATACCAATCAATCATGCTTTGTTTCATAGAATTAAACTTCCTCCGCTACCAACTACAATCTGCTGGAGGGACATGAGTCCATATATCATCACTATTTTTCATATAAATACCATGTATTCATTTAATCCAAAGCGTATCTTCTTTGCAAGCAAGTTGATTAGATTCCCCACAACTAATTTGATTATTTGATGATTCTCCTTATAATTTGGAAATTTCATACTGGATTTCAATTTGGATACACCAACGTGTATTTTTTGCTACAAAATATATCAAAATAGGGAGAAAGGTGAGACAGAGAAAGAGAGAGGCGAGCGAGATCCACATATACATGTAAATCACACTATATATATATATATCATATATATGGAGAGAGGCAAGTGAGAAAGGAGAGTGGTGAGCGAGATAGGAGAACGACGAGTAAGAGAGTCAGATACATGCGAATCCACTTGGATACAGTGTATCTAGAGTAAATTATACCTAATTTTGACCACATGTATCTCAGATACATGTATCTAGACGCACCACATACATGTATCTGAAGTCCAAAATTTGGTAAGATCGTCATATTACAAACTAGCATGAATCTAAATAATTAACTCTTAAGCTAGTGCGATTTCTATAAATTACCCTTAAATATTAGACAATCATTACCAAAAATATATTTTGTAACAAAGTTATTTATTTTTTATACTTTTTATGTGTTCAAGCATTTATGTATAGTGAGAGGCGGATTCAAAAATTTTAATATTTGTATTGATGAGAGATAATATATATCTTGTTGAATTAATTAAGGTAGAGAAAATAAGAGGTGGATTCAAAATTTGAAGACGGCAGGGCACTATTATTATATTAACATAAATGACAAAAGATTTTCAATGACGAAGAAGGAATGATATTGTGTTGGACTTGCCTGCGATAGCGTATATATTGATGAAAAAACACAGGTGGTGTTAATAATTAAACTCCATGCAAGTAAAATCATTGAGAAATAGCTTAGTGGTTAAGGTAGTGCAAATGTATGAATTGACGCAAGTTCAAATTATCAAACCCACTTATTTGTGCTTAACCGTTAATTTAAACAGAAGTCACAAATTTAAAACTCAAATTTCAAGCATGAAAGCAATCAATTACGATTAACCCAAATCCACTTTTGTTCTATTTATACAAAATGCACAATTTAATTGAACTTTATTTGTACAAATATATATATAAAAATTCTAAGTTAACAAATGCAGGTGCACTCATTATTCTATATAGATTTATCTCTAATGAAATCAAATTGGAAGGTCATGCTCATAAGAAATAATTACGAAGTCTTGATTAATAGTATATAACATGCAATGTTAACATGGATCTTTGGTCATGGTCTTGTGGATACGAGTGGGACAAATTCATATGGATGTAATATTTGGTAATTATCGATCGTAAAATTATGTCTAATATTTATAATAAATTAGTTTTATCATATGTATTTTTATGGGGAAAAGACATAGATTCCCCCCTCAACTTGTCTTGAAAAGTCAGTTACACGCTTAAACTATTATGACGACCTATTACACACCTTTACAATTTAAAAGTGAATTTATTTACCCCTGAGACGTGTAACACCACTTTCACAATATGTGGTGTATTACACTTGTTGTCACATCAGTGCCATGTCAGAAATTAAAAACAAATTATATTCTCTGTTATTTTTAAGGCAGAATGGTCTGGGAGACCCTTGTACTTGTCTCATTTTGTCACTTGAGCCCTTCTAATCTAGACTTTGCCAACTGAACCCTCAAACCCACTGAAATCCAACATTTTAAACCCTTTTTTTGACCACTCAGTGGTGCGTGAACTACAAACGCCACACGTAGCTTTCCACGTCATTTAAAAATGTCATATAGGATATGACATGTTAAAAATAGGCTAATCCTTTTCTTTCAAACATTTCTTTCCTTTCTCCTTTTCAACTAGATCCTTTTATTCCCTTAATCCCGATTTACATTGTTGCTCACTGGGATTTTTTTCGATTTTGTGAAGTGTTTGAGTTCGCGTTTCACTCCATAGTTGTAAGTTTCTTGACTGATTTTCATTTTCTTTGTTTTGCAGTTGTGTTTTTGGTGTTTCATTTTGAATTTTGTTGTTTTGGGTTCTTGTTAGGGCTTAGTTATTGCAGAGATCGTGGTGTGATTTTAGGGAGGATTTTGATTTTTTACATGCCTAATAACAAGCCTAAGAACAATTTGTAGAAGTATTATGCATTCAATGGCATTTGTCGTGAATATCTGTTGAATTTAGGATTTTTTCGTATTTGATTTTTTTTTTATCAATTGCATTGGATTTCTTTCTTGTTCGTGGTCCAATTGGATTATATCAGATTATTATAGAGGTTTTTGTTGTGTTCCATAAAGAATTAGTTTAAAATTAGGTTTTTTTTTTTGTCGATTAGGGTTTTTTGTGAATTAGGGCATTTTTGTCAATCATCTGATTGTATTCTTGTGACTTTGCAGGCATGGTAAGAATATGGGTTCAACAATTATTACACTTCAAATGTATTATGGGGGCTGTTTTTTATCAGATCCTGAACTCAGGCATACTAATGGAATTTCTGATCTTGAAAAAATAAGAATCTATATGGATGAGCTTCATATTATGTTTTTTCATAAATTAGCTAGAGAATTGGGAGTTGAACAAGTTGAAACCTTTGGGTGCAAAGTTAACAAAATAGGTGATTTTTATATGTTGAAAAGTGATGCTGATGTGTTGAGATTTATTAACAACTTAAAGGGTGGGGACTTTGTTGATGTGTATGTGGTACATCAAATTAGTACTCATTTAATTGTTGAGGATCCTACTAAGGTGCAAATAGCCCAATTGCTTACTCCCAGAAAAGGTAAACCCCCCCCCCCCTCACCTACTGTTATAAATATTAGGGCTGATGTGTCTTCCCCTCAACCATCTGATAAAAATGATACAAATATAAAAGAAGATCAGCAACCTAGAGTAGACAAGGGTAAGAATAAGGAGACTGCTGCTCCTGAGGTTTCTTTAGAGGACTTAGATAGAGATGAAGGTCAAGGTCAAGGTAATGACTTTTCTTCCTACCACCTTCATACATCTAATGAATCTGATGTAGATGTAGATGCTAAACAATCTGATTCTGAGTCACTTTATGATGTTGATGAGAACATTGATGACTTAAGTGACTTAGATTCTGAGTTTGTTGAAGCTAGGAAGTCTAACATTGAAGAACAAGTTAATAAAGAGAAGGCTGCTAGAATAAATGTAGATGAGATACCTTCTGGTCATGTAGGTATAGATGTTGGTTTTGAAGATATTTATAAGAATAAGAGGGAAAGATATGAAGGAAAATTGGGTGGGGATGACCTTTATTTTGATAGCTCAGATCCTAACAGTGATATTAGTGAAGATGAAGGGGATCCTGTTGATTCTGATGAGGTTGTAGATCCACCAGCTAGGAATTCAAGTACAAAGGTCTATTTTGACCCAACTGCCAAATTTTTTTTTATTTCAGTTGTTTATGGTTTTTGTGAATAATGTTCAATTTAGAGAAGCACTAGTGAACATTAAACTTAAACCTAATGAAAAGGAGAGGATCGGGGCAAAGTGTAATAAGAAGGGTTGTCCTTAGCATATTCTTGGAAGTATTGAGGGTAATACTGAAAATTTTATTGTGAAGACATATTTTCCTGTCCATAAGTGTTTCAAAAGAACAAGAAACAAGTTGTGTACTCCAAACTGGATTTGTAAGACTTACAAAGACAGAATCATGAGTGAGCCTAGTATCAGACTCCATCAGATTCAAGGTTTGGTACAAAAGGATTATGGATTGTATGTTAGTAAAATAAGTTGTAGAAGAGCAAAAATGAAAGTCATTAATGATCATATGGGTGATTTCATAGAGGAATTTGCTAGATTGTATGACTATGCTAAAGAGTTGAAGTCTACAAATCTAGGAACTACTATGGTTGTTAGGACATCCAAGAATACAATTCCTGGAAAAGAGGTATTCCAAGGGATTTATATTTGTCTTGGAGCATTAAAAAGTGGTTGGATGGAGGGGTGTAGAAGGATAATTGGTTTTGATGGTGCATATCTGAAAGGTGTATGTAGAAGTGAATTGATGTCTTGCATTTCCAAGGATAGAAATAATCAGATGTACCTTGTAGCATGGGCAATATTTAATAAAGAATCCAAGGACACATGGTCTTGGTTTATCAAGTGCATCAAACATGATTTGGAACTGACACAAATTGAAGGTGAAAGACTGACAGTTATGTCTGATATGCAGAAGGTATGAGAACACTTTGTAGTATTTTTTTAACTTTGCTATAGCAATTTCTATGTTACACTTATGTTCCTATTGTTTTTCCTTGGCATGCCTTTTTTCTTTGATAGGGTCTTAACCTAGCACTTGTTGATTTATTGCCAAATGCTGAGATTAGATGGTGTGCTAGACATATATGGGCCAACTGGAAGAAGCTATGGAGTGGTGAAGAAAGGAGGAAGAAGTTTTGGTAGGTTGCCAGGGATCCATTTAAAGTTCATTTACAATCAAAACTTGATGAAATGAGTCTGTTGGGAGAAGGTATTGTGGAAGCTTTGTTAAAGTACAACAAAAATGCATGGTGTAGGGCATTATTCAAGGACCATAGCAAGTGTGACATAGTTGAGAATAATATGTGTGAGACATTTAATAGTTGGATCTTGGCAGCTAGATTCAAATAAATCATCACAATGTTAGAGAAAATTAGAGTCAAAGTCATGGAAAGAATGACTCAAATGAGGGAGTTTTCTGAAAAATGAATAACTGATGTGTCATCTATGGCTATGCAAATTCTTACTGACAATGCTGAACATGTAGCCATATGTGAGGTTAAATATAATGGAGATAATGACTATGAGATTCAACATCCACCATATAAACATGTTGTTAATCTCAAAAAGAAAGTGTGTAGTTGTAGGTCATGGCAACTGAATGGGATTCCTTGTGCACATGCAATTACTGCAATGCATTACAAGGATCTAGATGTTGAGTCATTTGTTGATCACTAGTACAAGAAGGAAACATTTTGAAGGCCTATAGTAGGTTCATTCAACTTATGACAAACATGAAGATGTTGCCCAAGATCTAGCACAAGACCATCCATTGAGCCACCTGAAATCACTCTTATGCAAGGAAGACCAAGGAAAAAAAGGTTTGAAGATAGTGATGAGCCTGGTAAGAAGAAGTTTGGAAAGGCAACAAGGAAATGGAGAAAAATGAAATGTTTTTAGTGCAGGAATTTTGGACATAACAAGAAAGGATGTCCAATTGCTGTAAGTTTTGCTTAACTTCTTCAACTTTGTTAATGAAATTTATTTTTATCAATACTTCTTAATTCAGTTTGGAAAAATTTTGTATGTAGAAAAATGGCTATACTACTGGAACTGCAAGAACTGCTACAGGTAAAAGTGGTGGTGCAACTATTTTAGCAGCTTCTACAGGCGTAACTGCTGGTGGAAGTGATGGTGCAACTACTAAAAGACCAGCCACTACTTCAGCAGCTTCTGGAGGTGCAACTACTGGTAGAAATGGTGGTGCAACTACTTCAGTAGCTTCTACAGGTGTAACTGCTGGTGGAAGTAGTGATGCAACTACTAAAAGACCAGCCACTACTTCAGCAACTTCTAGAGGTGCAACTATTGGTGGACGTGCTGCAAATATTTCTGTAAATTTTGCAAATGTTGCTCAACCAACAAGTCAATTTAGTACTCAACAGTCAACTACTAGTGCTAGTGGCTCAAAGAAGAGTAACAAAGTTAAAAGAGGTGGTGCAAATCCCGAATATAAAAGGCCAAGAACAACTGGTTTTGGTGTGCTCTTTGGAGTAAATGGTAGTGTGATTGAGAGGGTAAGTATTATCATTTAAGGACCTTTAGTTTGATTCTATAGAATCTCTTTAACTAATATCATTATTACCTTTTAACAGTCTGGAACTACTGATAGAGTGTTACATTGTGCACCATTGAATAGTTCAATGCCTACCAATATCGATCTTGGTTACAAACCCAATGGACTAAGGTGGAAGGGTGGAGCTGCAGCTACTCAAAGGCAACTACAAGAACAAAGTTACAAGCGAGCCACTCAGTCCACACCAAGCACTCAAGACACATAATATTTCATAGTAAAGACTCATGTTTTGCCTAGCTAAATTCTCAATGACATTGTCTATGATACTTTTCACTATTAACTTAATTTTCAACTGTTGTGTTAGCTTGCTATAACAAACAAGTTATTTTTGCTTATGAATTTGCTATGATAATTATAAGTCTTAATATGGATATTTTCATACATTATCATAGTACTCAAATGAACAAATCATCAATACATCTTAAATACAAAAGATAGAAACCAAATGACAACAATCACAACAACACTGATATCAATACTAATGCTCGATCTCCCCTGTCTTCCATGCTTTCCATGCCTTCCCTGCCTTTCATGATCAACATTTGTTGATTGATTTTTCATGTAGTATTGTTCTTGGTAGGTAGGATCAGCCATATCAGCCAATCGAAAAAATCCACACCCATTACCATTTGTGTATTTTTGACAGCCCCAAAACATTCTTCCTAGATTTGTTGATGCTCTTGACATCTTAAGTTTAACATGAAGCCCACAATAGCAAAAACAAACAGTCATTGTGAAGAATAAAAAAATTAACGAGTAAGAAAAAGGCGAGAAAAATAAAATATAGACAAAAAAGGCCTGATCAATTGTGGAGAAGAAGAAGAAATTTGGAGTGAAGAATTTTGGAGAGAGATAAACGAGTAAGAAAGAGAAGAAATTTTGGATATCTAAAGAAGAAATTAGGGGAATTTGAGGGAGATGGCCAAAAATGACCGTTCTTGGCTTTTTAAAAGCATCTCACGCTCCTAAAGTAGGTGTAATTCACACACTTGAACTACTTTTGCCACATGGGATGACATGTCAAAAAATGGTTTAAAATGTTGAATTTCAGTGGATTCGAGGGTTCAGTTGGCAAGTCTAGATTAGAAGGGCTCAGGTGACAAAATGAGACAAGTACAAGGGTCTCCCAGACCATTCTGCCTATTTTTAATTAACTTTTCTTTTGTTAACTATATTTTACACTAATTAATCTCCAATTAATTATTAAAATTCTCTAATAATTATATTTTCTTCGTAGCAAAATTACAATAAGATGAAAATTCTAACAATGGCCGCCAAGAACACTAATCAGAACATGAAGCTAATTTATGAAGTGAAAAATTTTCCGATTTATCTCAAAAACGCCCGCCATAGCTGCAGTGGCTAAGAAGCCCTCAAAATTTATCCCGCCGATGACATTAAGAAATCTTTTGTTAACAAACACAAATCAAAACCCATAAAACTTAGATTGATGATAAGTAATTTGCTAAGCAAGCTGAGAAGAAGGAGAGATTTTTGCTTAAATGAAAGAGGAGAAAAATGTGCTTCATCAAGAAGGTGGGGTTGAAGAAGAAGAAGGGGGTGGGTTGTAAAGAAGAAGAGATGTGAAGAGTAGGGTGGCGTCTAATTGAATTTTGTTTTTTTTTTCTACTTTAACAAATCTGACGCGCCTATTTTTATTTTTTTTTAAATTATTTTGCCACATCAGTTTTAAGGGGTAAATAAATTCACTTTTAAGTAGTAAATGTGTGTAATAGGTCGTCATATAGTTTAAGCGTGCAACTGACTTTTCAGAACAAATTTAAGGGGGAATCTATGCCTTTTCCCTATTTTTATGTGTACCTCATATCAATAATAAAAAAACATACACAAATATAGTTTTACAAGTGAAATTTGTGAAAAATGGGAATATATAAGTGATAGATTATACTTTTATCTTTGTAAGGTTGTGATTAATATGATCAGAAATCTATTTGTACCTTTTTAATTTTTTAATTTCGGGTCTTGTTAACTTTTTTTTCCAATTAAAGCTTTAGATAGAATTCTTCAAATTAAAGAGGGTGAAATATATTTGGAGAAGATATAATATTTTCAATTCAAGTTAAAATAAATTTAATTCGAGTTTCATGTAGACAAGAGACAATACTTTTGGATAATCAAACTTCTCACATGTCAAAACGATGTATATCTCACCTTTAGAATATTACAATATATATATATATATTGTATTTATATTGCTTTAAAATAGTTCAAGAAGGTATTGAAAAAAAGACTAATAATCCCTATTTTTTTTTTAAAATATTACATTTTATAATTCTTATTCTTGTGGCAAAATTGGTGCAACTCTTTAAAAAATTGAATGATTAATAATTGACATAATACATAAACACATAATTTTCTCCGCATTCTAGCTTTGATTCTTCACAAGATAAAAGTACGATTATAAACACATAATTTTCTCTCAACTTCATTTACAATATTACATCAAATATATTATTATTATTATCGAAAAGAGGCATAAATGCAAACCATAAAATTAGGGACACACAAATGAATAAAGTAGTAAATGAAGGACTCCATAGGAAAAAGAAACACATAAAATAAAATAATACAGTATCAGCGAGAAGTTAGGGTTTTTATTTACATTTGCAAAGCAGACATTTTTATTCCTTCAAAGTCCATTTTCAGTCTCTTCACTCCAATAATTCAAACATTTGTAAGCTTCCCTCAACACCCTTTTAGCTTTACTGTATTTCTATGTCCAATTCCTCACTTCAATGAACTCATATCTCTAATCTTGATTTTGGGGTTTTGGGAATTTCATTTCCGGTAAAAATTGTGTCTTTATGTTTTCTTTTCTTTCCCTTGGGTTTTTGATGATCAAGATCAGTTTTTGAAGTGTTTTTGGAGTTGGGTTTTGGTTTTTACTATGTGGGGTTTCTAATAATAATGTTTTTATAAGGGTATGATTTTTGTTTTTGAGTGGCTTGTTAGTTCCCTTAAGTTTAACTCTTTGTTTTGATGGATTTTTATGTAGTTGTGGTTGTCATGGTTGACTTGTAATCATTGTGTTTCCTTAGATGAATGATGTTTATTGTTTAATGTTTGTATGCACTGCTTGTGAAACAAAAATGAAAAAAAAAAAAGAAATGGCCGAAGGACCAAATAGACTAGCATTTGCTTTCTTGAGTTTCTCTCTTCCAATTTGTTTTTGGTGAAATGATGGATTTTGCTGGCCTTGACCAATTTGGGATTTAGGTGTAGTTATTGAGTAATTGAGTGAAGTGACAGAGTACAAACTCACAATTGTAAGAGAGATAAAAAGTTGTGAGTAATCATGCTAAGTATAATATACCTACAATTTTAGGGATTTTAGTTACAAAGTCACTCACATTTTTTTGGAAGAATATAACAATTATGATGACCTTCCTTCTGGTGTGAATTGGACCCATTTAGTTCCTCAACATTGACCATAGAGCCAAAGCTTCAGTGGCTTCGTGTGTCACCTTGAAGAATAGTTTTTTATGCCATTTCTTGCTTTGTTGTGTCGCCTTGAAGAACAGTTCTTTATGCCATTTCTTGCTTTCATGTTATGCACCTTAGTGTTACTTATATTTATTTCGCTATGTTTGTTGCACTTAATGCTTTTCCTTTTTTTAGTCCAGCCTTTTAACTTTGGTAATCATCTATATTGTGTCCTGGACCTTTTCCGTTTTATGAATGTAAGATTGGTGATTATCAAGCTGGAGAAGGATAATACTGTTATAAACTCTTCCTGCATGTTATTTTCTTGCTTCCAGATAGTTCAGTTTTGTCTGAATTCCTTGGGGGGGACCTAATCATGTCATGCTTGTATGCTTTTCAGTGGAATTGTTGTATATAATTGGTATTTGCACATACCAGGTGCAGTTCAGTAGGACATTTGAAGTAGTCCTAAGCAGCGAGGGGAGAACTCACTCTCTTGGTAGATACGTGAAGAAATGGAGTAGTTACTAGAGTTGCCCCTTTTACACTGAAAGTTGAGAACTGACAAGCATTGTTAAATCGTGTTCCCTTTGTTGTGTTGCTGAAACTGAATGGAGTAGTTACTAGAGTTACTCTCTATTCTGAAAATTGAGAATTGAGAGAAGCAAGTACCAACATAATACTTGTGAGTCTTGTGAAACATAGCTAAGACGGGGTCCCTTTGTTGTGTGGCTGCAAGGCCACATGGGTCCAATGCAGCTAGTGGAGAATGGTCCATGGGGCCACATGAGCCTTACTGGCGGACTAATTCAAGCTTCTCCCCAGCACCATCCAGATGGGATTTCCGCTTCCAACCTGAAACATTATCCTTTGGCTCTAATGATGGAGTTCAATTGTATGGATCTTCTGCTTCATCAAACAGTAGAGATAGTAGAAGTTGGGTGAGGGGGAACCAATTGGCCAATCACCAATATCTCATATCAGATGGTGTTGGTGTATACTGTAGTAGCCCATCGGACATCTCTCCAGCACAACAGTGGACTCCACCAGCTATCCAAGAAATCAACATTGATGATTTTGGTACTTCAAGAAGGGGTAAGCATACTGATTTTGCAACTTTTTTTTTTGTATATGATGAACTTCCAAGGATGCTTAGTTGGGTTTTGGTCTCTTACTTTCATGTACTACTTGCTTTCTCCATTACTAGCTTCATTTATGTTGACTGAATAATCAGCTGATTGTTTTTTCATATATATGTACGTACTTAATTTTGGATGTGATTTGCTTGGAGTTTGATACAAGGTTCTCATTTGTCTGTTTCTGCTATTCTGTATTGCTCGTACATGGGGATTTTCTATGAGACACTGTAATTCAAGGTAATTTTGACTTGGTGTTAATCTAAAATGCATAAATATTCAGAATTAGGTAGATTAAGCCCATAGACAACTTCCTGCATGTTTTTTTAAGCGACGGCTCAATTTTCATGCTGCAGCTGTGGATCTCAAGTCCTTGTTAGGAGAGTATATGGGCCTTACAATTACAAACTTGTATGGTTGTCTACTAATATAACCAAATAGTATACAACTAGTGCTATACCCGGGTGAAGGGGATTAGCTGTAGGATTCATATGTGAAAGGAGGGGGTTGAAAGTATTCTGAGATGCAAATAGAACTGAGGGTAATTTGTCCAACATCCCAACTTTTGAAAGATGAACAATAGGTTCATATCAATGAGGGATCCCTATTCACCTTTATATTACCATTGGGCAGTTGATCACCTTTAGATTCTTTAATTATCTTGGACCGGACCTTTGTAAGCAAATTGTCTATTGTAAAACCCATAAGATGGGGCTTAGCCATTGATGCACAACCATGTTAGAAGGCATTGATGCACAACCATGTTAGAAGGCACAATCTCCGTGCAAAACTAATTTTGGTATCCTGCAGCTCCTTTGTCGTATTTTTATGTGCTCTTTAGTTGGGGTTTTGGTGCAGTTCATGAGCTGATTTTCTTAGTTTAAAGTTGAAGGAAAAAACGTACTATTTGTTTATGATATTGGAATTAGGTCTGTTTAAGATCATAATTACAATGTCGTACTTGAAAAAAAAAAGTGTGTTCCCATCATTAGTCTCATCGATGTGTTAGTATCCACCTTTGAGTCTCTAATTATCTTGGGCTGCACCTTCGTAAGCAAATTGTATATTGTAAAACCAATAAGATGGGGGTTAGCCATCGGTGTATAGCCACGGTAGGAGGCGTAATGCCTGTGCAGAACTAATTTTGGTATTCTGCAGCCCCTTTGTCGAGTTTCTATGTGCTCTTTAATTGGGTTTTTGGTTCAGTTCATGAACAGATTTTCTTCATTTAAAGTTAAAGGAAAAATGTACAATTTGTTTATGATATTGAAAGTAGGTTTGTTTAAGATAATATTTAGAAAGTCGTAGTTGGACAAAAGAGTGTTTGACAGGTTGGTAATTTCTTGACATGATGTCTAATTGATGCTGAAATAAGGTAGCAATTTTGTGTTAGCTGATCTGAATTTTTGAGGTAATAAGCTTTGCTGTTCAGGGTGATAAATTGGGATGCGGTTAGAAGGACAAGTAGTTCTAACATATTAACAGAGAATTCCATCGTTTGGTTAGGTGAATTGACCCAAGTAATGCATTTCTGTCATGCCCTAAACCTAGGTGAGGTAGACTGACACTCGGTGCCTTGATTTGATTGAGCGAACCAGCTTTACATGATTGTATGTGCTAGGCATATATGAAAAAATATACACAATGCCTCAGAATTCAACATATATGAGCAAGTACTACTTTTATACATATGGAACCCCAAAGGCATATGAGAGAGACTGAAGTACCACAACTCTATAATGCATCATGAGAAAACATAAGAGTATCCTAGATTTCAAAGTAATACCTTGAATATCATAAGCAAATGTAACTGTAAATGCTTTCTGTAATACTTGAAATCTATAACTTTGAACATACATGGAGCTTTTATGTAACTTCATACTTTGATCTTAAATCATAAATATAACTTTTCTGGAAACATCATACTTAGTCTTTGAACATAGATATGTCTTTTTGGAAACATCATACTTTAGTCTTTGAACATAGATATATTTCTCATGGGGAGACCTTAGTCACTGTCATAAAACATACATGATAATTCACCATGTGTACTGCATGCATTCAATCAACATCTGAATGGCTGAGCCGACATACCACGATGCTGTGTGGGTCCGATGCTGTTTGTATATGACATAAACATAATCTGTATCCTAACCGAAGGAATCCCAACCAAAGGAAACTGTCTACTCGCCATTACGACTCTTAACACCAACATATGTAGACTTAGGTGTTGGATTCTTTTGGCAACACCTTCTCAATTTCTAAGGGTGCTCTCAAAATATATATTGTATAACTTGGTACTTGTGGCCCTATTATAGAATCAAATCTGTGCCTCATTGGCCCTTTTGTCAAATTATAATATATAGCTCAGTAGTCTATGATATCAAATCATAATCTGTGGTTCAATAGCCTATAATATCTGTAGCTCAATAGCCTAAAATATCAAATCCAATCTGTGGCTCAATAGCCTATAATATTTGTGGCTCAGTAGCTTGAAATATCAAACCAAATCTCTGGATCATTAGCTATTCATATATCTTTATTCTCATTTTGTGAATCGTAACTTAAGGAAGACTCTAGAAATATCATGTAAATCTTTTAAGGAGAACATGAATCTAATGAATGCATAGTCATATAGAACATCATAAGAAACTTCATTAAACTTAGTTTTGTATAACCTAACTTTCTTTTCTCCTTTTATCTCTCAAATGAATCTTACAATTCCATCCCACGTTCTAGCATTATTGAATGGCCAACACACGGGAGGGAGGAAGGGAGATCAATTATTATTTTAACTCCCATTAGACCCAATTATATCTTGTACTTGGAGCGGAAAAAGAGACGTTGAGAAGGAAGAGGAAGAAAGTATTAGGATGGGTAGATAATGTGGCAGAAATGTCGAAATTGTATCCGACAAAGTAGCGGTGAGATGAAATCTTGGAGACCTCGGGAGATGTTGGACCATTACATCAAATAAAGTGCCAACCTCTTAAGTACCATATTTACTTATAAAAAAAGGCTCTTTTAAGTGACATATTTAATCTATTTCATGAGTCATAGTATGCTTAAAACACCAAAATGTTTATTTAAAGTACACTTACCAATGCCCCCCGGGCTTTGGTTCAAGGGTAATGCATTGCAATACGAGATGTGTGGGAGGCGACGTCTAGTGTTCGTATTCTAGTTTAGTATTTTAGGTAGAGATGAAGAATCATTATCCAGAATCTCAGGATCTTGATTATTTAAAAAGAGGGGAGAGTACTTGATTAAAAAAAAAGTGAGACCAGAGTAACCAACATCAAACAACATAAAAAAGCCAATCTACCTCAATATGATATTGAATTATGTTTCCATTACAGTTATTGTGAGCGTGCTCTCCCCTTTGTTGATGTCCAAATTAATGGTCACTTCATGTTGAACACAGTCAAAGTTAGCAAGTTGATATGCTTAAAGAATCAATTCTATACTGCTCCTGGCACATTTGGCTTATTGGTTTCAGCCAATGCTTTGTCATGAATGCCACCATTCTGGATATATTGTTGTACTGATTATTTTGCTGTATTTTTTGCTTGGTAGATGCAATTACGAGGCCATTTTCATTTTCACCCACAATGGAGGTATGCATCTGTCTTTGCTTTTCTCCACTAACTCCTTTCTTTTGAAGTTTGTAAGCTAAATCCAGCTTTCTTATGACAATAAATTTCTTGACAGGGAGCATCAATTGCTAGGGATGGCAGAGGCTCAACTTCATCCCGATCTGACAGTAGTGACTGTGATTCAATCACCAAGTCCCATTCATCTTATCGTAGCTTCCCGAGTCGCCGTTTCTTTATGTCAAAACCCATACATCCTCTCTCATTTCCAACTGAAACAACACCTAGAAGAGAAGCTATTGACAGCCTCTCAGCAGGTTTTCTAGAATTTGATGCCTCAACATCACAAAGAGATAAACACCGCTTGAGCAGTGCTAGTGGCAGTCTTGACTTGACAGAGGCCTCTGAATCTTTTCAATCTGACTTCCTAAGTAAACCTTGTAACCCTTCAGATGGTTTCAGATGTGGGTTATGCGAGAGGTTTCTTTCACAAAGATCGCCTTGGAGTTCCCGACGAATTGTGAGAAGTGGGGATATGCCAGTTGCTGGGGTCCTTTCATGCCGCCATGTATTTCATGCTGAATGTTTGGAGCAAGCTACACCAAAATCATGTAAAAGTGATCCTCCATGCCCAATCTGTGCCAAGCTTGAAGAAGACAGTTCTCCAGAGCAGCGAGTTTTCTCCAAGTTCTTTCCTAGGCTTAAAACATTCAGTGAAGAAGGACCATCCAAGCCTTGGGGCTGTGCTCATTCTGGAGATTGTGTCGAAGGGGCTTTGCATGGACCATCTCGTGGCACTATGCTCTCACTAAACAAGAACCAAATTAGGAAAAATCTTTCTTTGAAAGGTAATTCAGGCAAGGAATTTCCGGGTAAATTAAGAAAAACTAATACATTTTCGTCACAGCTTTTTATTGGATCAGTTGATCATGCAATGGTGGGATCTTCAAAAGCATCAGCAGGTTCCGGGCTGAAGTAACAACTGAATTTTGTATATAATTGCAGGCTGATGTCCGTGGCCTTTCGTGGTTGGTGTCCTAATCGTCTTAACTTTTCCTGTTTATTGAATTAGAATCTTTAGTGGCTTAATCATGTTGTAATATGTAATGTGGTGTAAATTGTGTATGCACTTGAAAAGGATTCAAACAAATTGCATCTTTTGTGTAAGTTTTTAACTGATATTTGATCATTGAACCAATATATGTGGGAAATTGTTATTTGCAAGTTGTAGGCATTGAACAAAGTGTCTTTTGATGGTTTACTTGAAAAGTAGTAAAGTCTAAAGCTTTATATATTTGTATTTTTGCATGTTTCTATGCATTTTGAAGGAGGCATTTTTCAGGCCTGGGATGTATTTTGATTATTTATATCCTTAACTGTATTTTATGTTTTTGTGTATGCACTCTTGTATTTTTTGTTGTTTGTGTTTTTGTATACAATTACTATTTCAGGATTTTTAGTATTCCAAGTGAACTTAGGGGTGTGTTTGGTATGAAGGAAAATATCTTTTGGTAAATATTGTTCAATTTTCTCATGTTTGGTTAGCTTAAGTGGTTTTCCAACTAAACTTATGAAGTTGTTCCTCTCTTAATTAGAGGTTTTGGGTTGCTTGGGTATGAAATTTGGTGGGGAGCGCTTTTCTTAGAATGAGGCTCTATGTAATGCGAATTTGGATTAGTTGGACTCTAATGCGGGTATCGAATGTCGAATGGGAAACCAAATAAATGACTTACCCCTTGTAAGGTAAAGGATACATTTTTAAGATCTCTGTTTCAATGGTTCCATCTAGGGGTGGGCATGGTATGGTATATACCGAATATCAAAATTGAAATTTTTTATACCGCGGTATGGATATTATGGTATTTGGAATGACTTTTAATTTTTTTTGGTATTTGGTATTTATAAAATAAATATTGAAATACTGTATACCATACCGAAATTTTATAGTAATATATAAAATTAATCATTCATTAACATGGTGGTATATGTCAAGTTAGAGTCTACATGTTAGTGAATGATTTTTGTGGTGTAAAATTATATAGGGCTATGCATAATTTTAGATAATGTTATTTAAACTTAGCATCTATGACTACTCGATTGTTATTGAAATGTTTTTTTTTTGTGAAATTATTTAACAAAAGTAGTTGTTGATCTACTATGATTAAGACTTGTGCTTTTGAATTTCTCATATTCATGTTGATCATCATATTGGTTTTGCAAGAATACTTGCTAAAGGACAAAGAGAATGGTTTTTAACTTATTTGCTAAATAAATCGTATGGAGAGTTATGAATATATGGAAGTTGAAGTCTAAATAAATTATGATTACTGAATACCATACCGTAAAATACCGAAATCGAAATTAAATATATCGAACCATACCGAGCTAATTTGGTATGGTAATGATATAATACTCTAGATACTGAATATCGAAGTTACGATACCAAATTTTTATATATCGTACCATGCCCACCCCTAGCTCCATCTGACCTTGACTTGGTAACCGACTTTCAATCTCGACTTCGACTTTCGTTCCTTTCTTCGATTTAAGTCTAGACTCCCAACATTGACCCTGATTCGGCTGCTAACTCCTGACCAAGACTCGGGTTTGGATCGAGTCCTTTGTCAGCGTCGAGTTAGAAACGGGAGTAGGGCAGTGGGAACCCAAGTTGGGGTTGGGATCATGAGTCGAGTTGGGTGTGTCGAAGTCTAGGATTGGGATTGTGGTCCATTGTCAAAGTGTTTCCCAAAATCTTAATGCTCCTGGGACAATGTATTCTTCTTAATAACCAAACAATATAAAAATAAGTAAGAAAATTATTTATTTTTCAAAAATATGTTCCTAATATGTTCTAGAAAAATATTTTTCTGGAAAAATATATATGTGAAAAACACTTTTCTTCATGCCAAAAATATTCTATGTGAGCTCATACAGCCTATCGTGTTTATATTATGATTTTTCTATTATATAATTTTTAATCTAATTTTTAATTTTTAATTTAATCAAAATGTTACTTTTATCTGTTTGATTTGAAAAAAATGAAAAATAAATAGATACTACATATTTAAAGTTTCATATTCAGTAGTACATAACTACTTATTATCCAAAAAAAAAAGAGTAATACATAACTACTATATTAGTAAAAACAACTTCTAGCCTAAACAATTGCATACTTTATCTTTTAAAAAATTTATATCTAAAATAATAATAATAATAAAAAAAAAAACTACATGCCCCTTACCCCATTAACCCACTTATTTTTTTCAAGCTTCTAGAAAATCATTGTAGTGAAAAATAAAAGTAAAAAATTAGTAGTACAAATTAGAGCAACTTTCACATATAGCAAACATAAAATTTTCTAAGTGTATAGGACGAAAATATATGCATTTATATTTGTATATACAATTTTCTCTCGCTTTATACAAACACAATCGCAATGTATACATTTGTGTTTGTGTAAAGTGAGAGTGGCGAGCGAGATCTGGAAGAGGGAAACGAAAATATATGTATAAATACAATTTTCTCTCGCTTTATACAAACACGAACGCATTTTATACATTTGTGTTTGTATAAAAGCGAGAGAGGCGAGCGAGACTGCCAGCGAGAAGGAGAGTGTCAAGCGAGATTCCACCAGGGATAGAGGCGAAATAGCAACAGTTTTGCTATGGGGTACAATTAAATCAAACTATGTCTATAACATTTAATTTGAATTAATAGTTTGCTGTTATATACAATTTTCCCTACAAATTATTAATAAATTTATGGGACACATGAGCCGACCCATGCTTCAAAATTTACGCTTCACCCGTGTTGCATAAAATATCCCGCGTTGTTTTCGCGCCTCTTTAGACTTAAAATTTAACTTGGCATCAAATCTTTCATAATTTAATTTTATTCCAAAATAATTTAGGTATGAGAATTACGAATTTTCCAATTCAACTTATTCAAAGATTTATAAAATCTAAATTTCTCCTATAAATAGAAGTCAATTCTAGGCAAAGAAACACAGAACAACAATGCCATTTGATCACCCCTCATATCTAATCAAATACATTTTCCTCTTTCTTTTAGTCACGACAAAGAAAATGAGCATTGAAAGAAAAGTTGCATACGAAAAAAACCGAAAAGAGTTCTTCAAAATGGCTCGAGAACTCAGCGCCTCTCATGGTGTTGAGATTGCTAGCGTCTTCTATAGTGATTACCACAAAAAACCTCTGGTATATCCAAATCATGTTGTTGCTATCAAAACCTTTGAAAAATTTAGAAAGTTGTCTATGCAAGAGAAATTCAAAACCATGGTGACACAATTAGAAGTCATCCAACAATTAAAAACTGAGAAGTTGGAAGAACTTCAGAAGCTAAGGGAGAAGAACAAACGCAAGGAGCTGACAATTAAGCTGGATAAAATGAAAATAGAAGATTTTTCTGTTGACATGATAAACCTTGAAGATCTCAACGATTGGATCTATGTGATGAGAGAATATCTCAAAGAAATAAAAGAAATAATGAAAGCAAGGGTTGACAAAGAGGGTTCCATATCGAATATCTCTTAATCCCTTGTTGGACAGATAATTCCTAGTGGAATCAATCTAAACTTGATTTGGCTGGTTTAATTTTAATTAAGTAATATCTACAAATTATTATTGTTCGCATTAGTTTTTTTAATATAAAAAAAGAGTAAGTCTTATCTCATACATATGAGGATTGTTAATTGAGATGATCGATTTATAATTTATGAATCCTTTAATGTTTGATTTAAAAGCTTAAAGAGTATACTGTTGGGTATATAGCAAGAGTTAATGGGAAATGGAGGGAAGAAGAAAAGAGAGGAACTTGAAAAGTTGGGAACTTGAAAAATTCTCTTATGCTTTAGTAAAAAAGGAATCTCTCCCTCATCGATAGTGGAAAGGAAAATAGAAGAATTTAAATAGAGAAACACTTCTATTAATTGTTAAAAGGGTTGGAAAGAGGGACCCCCTAGAGCCATCGTCGTCGTCGTCGCTCGGCTCGGCTCGGCTTTGGCTTTGGCTTAGAAAAACGATCGAGAGATTATTTTTTAGACAAAGTTTGTTTTTAATTATTTAGTTAATTATTTATTTAATTAATTAAATTAAATTAAATTAAATGGTCAAAACGTTTCAATTAATTAGTTAATTAACCGAAACGTTCTGACCCGACTCGGATTCACGCGCGACCCATTTTATTTAAATTTTCCGCCGTTGGAACTGACTGTTCTGAAAAGTTGCAACTTTCAAGAACAACCATGACCGTTTGAAAGGTTGCAAACTTTCATTAATGGTCGTGTGGATTCTGAAAGGTTGCAACCTTTCAAAATTAGTTCCTCTTGGCTATAAATACCAGTTATTCTTCAGAATTTTTTACTTATGAAAATTTATGATTCCTTCTTCTTCTTCTGCACAAATATTTTTCTTGTACTTTACTACCGTTGAGTGGTTCGCTGACACCAACGTTTTGGGTATTAATACACTGGTGATTGAGATCATTCTATCCTGAGAGGACATATTCCAAATCAAACCTCGGATATTAGAGGGGAATAATTTCCTTAAGGAGACACTGTGCATTCAGTGGGTTTGATCACTCTTCCATTCTGTCTTTTACAGATTCTGGTATGTTTTACAGATTTTAATTTTTTTTTAATTAATTTATATTCTTATGTTCTTACTGGTTCATTAAACTTTGGTAACTTCGTATTTCTGCAAAGTTTTTTGAAATCAGTAATTCTGTTTTAAACACAGATTGGCAACAATCTTAAGGAAATTATGTATTTTATTTTAATTTGTGTTTATGGTGGAGACAAAAATCTTCGTGGTTTTATACTCCTATTAAGTTTGCAATTTAAGTTATTGTTTACTGAGTCATTTGTATCAATTTCTGTTTATTACAGATTTTGAAATGACAAATCATAATGTTACGGTGGCTGTTGCTGCACCAATCCGAACTGTTGTACCACCAGCAGAGAAACCGAGAAAATTCTCTTGTGTGAATTTCAAAGGATGACAGCAACATATATTTTTCTGGCTTACCACTCTTGGTCTGCAGACATTTACCAATGAAGTAACTCCGATGCCTGTAGCTGAAATGCCAGACAGAGAAAAATTCATGATTATTAAAGCATGGAAACAAGCAGACTTCCTATGTAAGGGCTACATTCTTAATGTTTTAGAGCATGACTTATATAATGTCTATAGTGCAATGACAACTTCGAAAGAATTGTGGGATGCACTTGAGAAGAAATATAAGACAGAAGATGCATGCTTGAAAAAGTTTGTGGTCGCAAAGTTTTTAGACTATAAAATGTTAGATAGTAAAACTGTTGGATCACAAGTGCAGGAACTTCAACTTAGTTTCCATGATCTGATTGCTGATGATATGGTAGTAAATGAAGCTTTTCAAATGGTTGCAATGATCGAGAAGTTACCTTCTTCGTGTAACGACTTCAAGAATTATTTAAAGCACAAACGTAAGGAAATGAAGCTTGAAGATCTTGTGATTCGGCTCAAGATTGAGGAAGATAACAAACCGCCGAAAAGAAGTCTCATAAGAGTTCGATAATAATTGGAGTTAATATTATTGAAGAAGCTCCTACCAAAGGCAAGAAGAGAAAGAAGTCTAACGGACATAAGTCAGAACAGGCCAAGAAGAAATTCAAGGGCAATTGTTACAACTGTGGTAAGGCTGGTCATAAGTCTTCTGACTGTCGTGCTCCAAGAAAGGACAAAGACAAAGACAAAGACAAAGGCAAAAGTCAAGCAAACATCATGAAAGAGATGGAAAATGCAGATGACCTCTGTGCAATAATCTCGGAGTGTAACTTAGTTGAAAATCTCAAGGAGTGGTTTCTCGACTCAGGTGTAACTCGACATATTTGCTCTGCGAAAGAAGCCTTTGCAACGTACAGTCCTGCTGAGTTTGATGAAGATTTGTTCTTGGGGAATACAACAACAAGGATTGTAGGAACTGGGAAAGTAATGTTGAAAAAGACATCCGGCAAGGTGTTGATTTTGAACAACGTTCTGCACGTTTCTACTATTAGGAAGAATTTAGTTTATGTTGCACTGCTCGTTAAGAACGGGTTTAAGTGTGTCCTAGTTTGTGACAAAGCTATAATAATAGGATGTTCTTAGGAAAGGGCTACCTCACTGGGGGACGTCTTCAAACTGAATGTAATGGTTATTAATAGTATTAATAAGAATTCTGCTTATGTTTACTTATTGGAGTCAAATGATTTATGGCATGCCCGTTTGGGACATATAAATTACAAAGCCTTGCGAAAATTGATTATTTTAGAAGTATTGCCTAATTTCAAATTCGATAAATCGAAATGCAAAATTTGTGTGGAAAGTAAGTTTGTTAAACATCTTTACAAGTCTGTTGACACGAATTCAAAACTTTTAGACTTAATTCACACTGATATATGTGATATGAAGTCGACACCATCTCGTGGCGGGAAAAAGTATTTTATAACTTTTATTGACGATTGCACTCGATTTTGTTATGTATATTTGCTTAATAGTAAGGATGAAACAATTGATGCATTTAAGCAATACAAAAATGAAGTGGAAAAACAATTGAATCTAAAGATAAAAATGATTCGGAGTGATAGGGATGGAGAATACGAATCTCCTTTTGCTGAGATATGTTTGGAATATGGTATTATCCATCAAACTATTGTACCCTATACACCACAGTCAAATGGTTTGGCAAAAAGGAACAACAAAACATTAAAGGAAATGATGAATGTCTTGATAATCAGTTCTGGTTCACCAAGAAATCTATGAGGGGAAGACATCCTTACAGCTAACAAGATACTCAATAGGGTACCCCGTAACAAAACACAATCGATTCCATATGAGTTATGAAAAGGAAGGAAACCCAACTTGAAATATTTCAAAGAGTGGGGGTGTCTAGCAAAAGTAGAGGTTTATTTACCCAAGAGGGTGAAAATTGGACCCAAAACAGTGGATTGCATATTTATTGGATATGTTGTGAACAGTAAGGCCTGTCGATTTTTGGTTCACAAATCTGATAATTCTGAAATTCATGTGAATACGGTAATGGACTCAAATAACGCTGAGTTCCTTGAACACATTTATCCGTATAAAATTGAATGTAAGTCGACAAGTGAAAGACCTAAATGACCACGAGAAGAATCAATGGAAAATACACTACCTAATGAGGATCCTATGGGTAGGAATCGACAATGGAAATCCACTTCTTTCGGACCAGATTTTGAGGCATTTTTTCTTGAAAATTAACCTCCAACATTTAAAGTAGCTATGTCTTCATCTGAGTCAATCTATTGGAAAGAAGCAGTCAATAGTGAGATCGAATCAATTTTAAGTAATCATACTTGGGAATTGACTGATCTTCCTCCAGGAAATAAACCTTTAGGATCAAAGTGGATCTTTAAAAGGAAAATGAAAGTCGATGGGATTATTGACAAATATAAGGCTAGACTTGTAGTCAAAGGATACAGACAAAAGGAAGGTCTGGACTACTTTGATACATACTCTCCAGTAACAATGATAACATCAAATAGGATGTTAGTAGAACTAGCGGCAGTGCATGATCTAAAAATCCATCAAATGGATGTAAAGACAGTCTTCTTAAATGGAGAGTTGGAAGAACAAATTTACATGGAACAACCTGAAGGGTTTGTGGTTCCTGGTAAAGAAGAGAAAATGTACAGACTTGTGAATTCGCTTTATGAGCTCAAACAAGCACCCAAACAATGGCATGCTAAATTTGACCAAACAATGTTGGCAAATGGATTCAAGATTAACGAATGTGATAAGTGTGTTTACATTAAAAACGTTCCGAATGATGAAGTCATTAATTGTTTGTATGTTGATGACATGTTAATATTGAGTAAAGATATTAACGATATAAATGCTATTAAGCGCATGCTGTCCAGTAAGTTCGATATAAAGGACTTAGGAGTTGCTAATTTGATCTTAGGGATCAGGATTCTGAAAACTCCCCAGGGACTAGCATTATCTCAATCTCATTATATTAAAAGAGTATTGGATAAGGTCAAGTACTTGAATTTCAATGTTGTCAAAACTCCAATTGATTTAAGCTTTACATTTCAAAAGAATGTAGGTGAAAGTGACTCTCAATTGGATATGCCCGAGTGTTGGAAAGTTTGATGTATATTATGAATTGTATGCAACCAGATATAACATGTGTTATTAGCAAACTGAGTCGGTTCACTAGTAATCCGAATCAAACTCACTGGTTGACAATGAAACGTGTGTTGGGGTATCTGAAACATACACAACACTATGCTTTGCATTATAATTAATATTCTGCTATGATTGAAGGATATAATGATGCAAATTGGATCACCGGGTGAAATGAAGTAAAATTAACAAGTGGTTATGTGTTTACACTTGGTGGAGGAGCAGTCACTTGAAAATCGTCCAAGTAGACATGTATCGCTCGCTCCACAATGAAATCTAAATTTATTGCTTTAGATAAGATTGGTGAAGAAACTAAATGGCTTCGAAATTTCTTAGAGGATATTTCATTCTGGCCCAAACCTGTGGGACCTATTTGCATACATTGTGATAGTCAAGCAGCAATGGGTAGGACAGAGAACGTCATGTACAACAAGAAGTCTCGTCATATACGATGGAGACATAACACCGTAAGACAACTACATTCTAGTGGAATTATCACAATTGACTTTGTGAAGTCAAGCGATAATGTGTCAGATCCACTAACAAAAGGCCTAGTGAGAGAGACAGTTGAAAGACATCTAAGGGAATGGGTAACTCTATCTAGCAGACTAGAGATCCCAAGAGTTAGATTCAAGGAGAAAAATAAAGTTGTGACTGACGGTTCGACATTGTCAATCAACTCAATCCACTCTCATGATGAAGACAATGTTCAGAAACAAGGTTAAGACTTTAAGGCTTGTTAATGAGTTAATAAAGCTTAAATTTTTTAATGATTTTCTAAGTTTGGCAGATTTGACCAAATAATGTATCTACGAGATGATACAGTTAGAAATCACTTATGTGAGTGTGAAGTGTAAGCCGCTTCAAAGAGAATTTTATGTCAAAAGCCTATTCTCTATACACTCATGAAACCAGGAGGTGTTCATGGCTGAAACGAACATAACCGTAAGAACCATAAATGGTAAAGGGTTAATTGTGTGACATATGGTTGTCTAGGTATACACCAAAGCTCGACAGTTCAAAGATATCGTATCTACCGATTGATCGAGTAATCCGACATATGTTCACTACGGAAAGTCTAATGGGAAACCTACTTATCCAGATGCAATTGATCCTTGCTTGTAAAGTACACACTCGTCCATGCATTCCTTATGTTATAACCATTCCCCATTAATGTGGGGGATTGTTGGGTATATAGCAAGAGTGAATGGGAAATGGAGGGAAGATGAAAAGAGAGGAACTTGAAAAGTCCTCATGCTTTAGTAAAAAAGACATTTCTCCCTCATCGATGGTGGAAAGAAAAATAAAAGAGTTTAAATAGAGAAACACTTCTATTAATTGTTAAAAAGGTTGGAAAGAGGGACCCCCCTCGCACCGTCGTCGCTCGCTCGGCTCGGCTTTGGCTTTGGCTTTGGAAAATGATCGATCGAAAGATTATTTTTTAGACAACGTTTGTTTTTAATTATTTAGTTATTTTTTATTTAATTAATTAAATTAAATTAAATTGCCAAAACATTTCAATTAATTAGTTAATTAACCGAAATGTTCCGACCCGACTCGGATCCGCACGCGACCCGTTTTATTTAAACTTTTCCGCCATTGGAAATGACTGTTCTGAAAGGTTGCAACTTTCAGGAACAACCATCACCGTTTGAAAGGTTGCAAACTTTCATGAATGGTCGTGTGGATTCTGAAAGATTGCAACCTTTCAGAATCAGTTCCTCTTGGCTATAAATACCAGTTATTCTTCAGAATTTATACTTACGAAAATTTCTAATTCCTTCTTCTTCTTCTTTACAAATATTTTTTGTGTACTTTACTGTCGTTGAGTGGCTCGTTGACACCTGCATTTTGGATATCCATACACTTGTGATTGGCAACATATACTTGAAAATGTTTTTACCCTGCATTTCTTTAATTGTTGCCTCCATTCAATAACAACCTCTATAAATATTATAGGCCAGTCATGCATCAAGACAACTTCTTGAAAAATCTTCAATTCTAATATAATATTTAAAAATTTGTTTACGCATTTTTTAGCTTTTATTTTATTATACTATACTAGTTATTAACTTATACAATTATTTTATAACAATCACAATGTTTTTTATATTAAGTGTGTGTTAGACAATAACAAATGTTATAAAAATAAATAAATTATATTGTTGTCAATTTGAAACGATTCTCCTAACAAGCATCCATGATATAGTAATATTTTTCAATTATTGTGTATGTCTTTTACATACCCTTTAAAATGTTTCTTAAATGATCATCAATAACAATTCTTCTCATGTCGCTGATAAATAATCCTTATTCGAGATAAAGAAAAATGATTTTTTGTATATTCAAGATTGTATAATTATACATGTCGTAATTTTTATTTTTTACTTGCTCTAAAATAACATATCTAATTATATGTACAAGAAAAAATATCAACCTCACTAAAATTATTCACAATGAGAATAACTAAAATTAAAGACTAAAAACATAAATTAACTACATAAATATGTATAAATTATTAGATTTTTTTGACATCAAACTAACTTGATTAGATAATTTTTAAAAAATTTCATATGATGGTTTGTCTTGAATATTATGGACCTTACCTAGTGGAGCAAAAAAATTCCTTGTAAATTCCTTTTCGGCTTATATGAATTGTGTTCTTAATCTACGAGAACATTATAATTCTCTTTATCGGGAAATTACACTAAAAATATATAAGGTCAAAATCATTTTATAAAGTAGTATATATTTTTAAATATAATGTGTTTTCTTATTTAGAAAGGAAAGGTCTTAAATTTTTTACTAAGTGATCATTAGTTAGAGTAAAAATTGAATCAGATTTTAAAAATTTATTTGACCATAAGATTTATTTAGATTATAAAATTTCAAATTTTTTTTAATGATTTTAAGTTTTCAAAAAATGTCCTTGAACACTTTTTTGGAGAAACTTTACCCTACTCGCAAAGCTTTAATTATTTTTCAAGTGAAATGTATGTCCAAACAAAACTTCAAATTTCAAAACTTACAACTATAACAAAATTCAAGTTTCAATTTTAAAATTTATAATTAAACAAGAGTTGAATATCACATTCAAAAGTGAAAATGTAATTTTTTGTAACTTTTTATGCTAAGTCCAATTTCAATGTTTAACCTTACCACTTCTTTCAAGATGGGCTTAAGCTTTGTCAAAAATAACTAAACAACAATCATTATTTGGGCAAAAAAAAGTTTCTCTTGTACTAAAGTTCATCTCTCCAATAAAAGTCCATGTTGCCCACTTTTGGCGGCCTTTCAATTTTGAAAATAGAATTATCGGAATTTTTTTCGTTCTTAACATGAGGTATTGAGTGAATATAATTTTTTTTGATAGGGATCGATTAATTCCTTTACATGGCTTAATGGTGAAAATCAAAATTATTTGGATCAATAAGTTTTGGGATACAAAATGCCTAAATGAATTATTATTATTTTTAGCTTATATTTATAAAAAGAATATCTATTTCTGTTAACACTATATCTCTCTTAATCGGAGATCTGAAAGTTTCAATCATCGTAGTAATGTAGAACTTCTTGACTTGGACTCTAGATCAATAAATTGTATGTACAAAATATCTAA